GGGCCACCCCGTAACTGTTATGATGGCATATTTGCTGTTCAGGCATATGCCACGCATCAATGGAGAGGGACTCATGTTTAACAGCACAGGGAACAGGGATATAACACTCTGAGATTTTCTCTGCTTTAGTGCAGGATGAGTCCCTTAGACCAGATTCTCATCAAATACAAATTGAAATCGGTGGAGCTACAAAATGTACATTAATGGCAGGATTTACCTAGATGAAAAGACATCTGCAGTTTTAGGTGTCAATATGGAGCTGCCTACACTTGAGCTAGAGCATACCAAATGGCACCCTTTTGTTCAGGCCATGTAGTTCTAATGTCTGTAGTTAATACACCTGAAGGAGTCAACAGGCTGAATTAATTATCTGAGAGGTGTCAGTGTCTGCTTTAGGATGACCCACATCTTCCTCTGTGTTCCACTAAATGCATTAACCATTTAGTCCATCCTTCCCTGGTATATCTAAATATATGTTGTGTGAGAACGGTACTCCACTGCAATGATACAATATCTTCTCATGCTACACCTAATTCCCTTTTTGTCTTTCCTACACTGCTCCAAGGTGCCATGCTGTAAACCTCAATGGGCGATACTACAAAAGAGGGAGGTACAATGGACCCCACGATGATGGCTTGGTTTGGTCTACATGGCATGGGATGTGGTACTCACTGAAATATTCAGCCATGAAAATCAGGGCTCCGTTCTTTGTCGACAGCGAGAGTGGAGATGGTGAAAACAGTCAGGGAAGCTGAAACCTGCTGCTTTGGAAAGAGAAAAAGCACAGGCTGAAAAGAATGCTGTAAGTTGCTGCCGCCAATTGCCAAACCTGCACTTGATAGCTGGAGTTGCACCTGCTTTTGCCACCTGAATCTAACAGCACGACTTATTTGAGCATAGCCAGACAACAATTTAATAAAAAACATACGGATCTCAGTCACACGATAACCAGAGATTTCTTTTTCAGCAGTTTTCAAGATGTTGTTGGAGAATATTTATTGAAATTTCTCTAGAATTCAAAGGATCAAGCATGTCCTTTAATCAGTCTATACTTTTCAAGGTCTAAACCTTTCTCGTCTTGAATTTAACCATCAGTGTTTCAGTTATGAGAACATCAGGACAGGAAGAACAAGGGGATGGGGAATTTGACTTTATCTGGTGTGCCTTTGTTAGTGCTTCATTCTGCATCAGGAGAATCTTTTTAAGGAACTTTCCCTATGGTTCTAATTGCCACACTTCTGCTGCAGAATGTTTGTGGAGTGTGTGAAATCGGACCTGTGGATGGACATGCTCCAACTGCTAATATGCATCCAAGGCTAATGTGAAGCCAAGGCTGCTTCAAAGTAAACACCCACAATACGGACAGTGTGGGTTCCATTCCAACAGCTTCCTGCTGCAGATCCACTGCTAGAGCATACCACAAGACATTAATGCAGACAGACAATCCTGCCAAACAGATTTAAGACCCAGATTAAAATTAGGCAGATTTTACTAAAATTAAGGTGAGTGCAGATATTCCTATGAGTTCCTAAAATGCAGTCATTATTCATTTGTGCATTCTCCTGTCACCAGATGACTTTACATTAGTGAAGGGGAATCAGAAAGTGGTTGAACCACAAGGCACACTGCTTTCATTGTCTCACTGGGGTGAAATGAAAGAGCCACACAAATGACTGCAAGAAATGGAATACCAAAAATTTATTTTCTACAGCTGCTAATAACAACAGTTAAAAATTAACAGTGGTAACAGCTTGATGCAAATCATTTAACTGCCATGCTGTAGAATAAACCCTTTTCCTTTTTTTTCTGATTTATAATAATTTTTTTAACTGATATTACTTTTCCATTTACTTGCTTTTAAATCCATACATATTGTAATTTGTATACATATCGATAAAGAGTGAAATAAAACCATCTGAGTAGGACTTAATACTTATCTGGTTTTCAACAATAGGAATGTGAACAGGAATCTTGGAAAGCTCATAATATGAGAAATGTATTCTTTTGGTGTTGGCTCTGGTGCTTTTTTACCTGTTATCCTTGGCAGTTGCAAGGGTCTGGAAGGTAAGTTTAATTTTCATGTCTCAAGCTGCCCTGGAGACAATGCAGAGGCATGAGATGAAGGTTCAGTTTAAAACTTGGTTTGGTTCCTCTCCTTCCTAGACATCCCAGTGACTGCAAAGACAAACGTCCCAGTGTAATGGGCAGCACTCCAGGGAGCTGTGCTCCTAAAACCTGTGCCCTTGGCCAGACTGTCCCCTGCCCTCTTCTCAAGCATGCTCATGTGGAATGAAATTTGCACCTACATGTCTGAAATGAGATCGCCCTTGTGAAGAAAGGGCTACAGAAAGACAGCACTTATTGCTTCTCTTCTGATCACTACGTCTGTATTTTGATATGGTAAAATTTTAGTGCAAGGTTGTAACTGCATGTTGGGGCATAAACACGTTGCACGCATTATTACTGTGTGGCCCCTGATGCAGTGCTGAGGGCAGAAAGGAAAATTTTTGTCTAAGTGGAAGACGCAGAGAAATGTAAGTGAAATAAGTTCATGCCTTCTGGAAGGTGATGCTCAATCCCACTCTTCAGTAGAGAGCTAAGGAATTAGAGTAAGGACTGTGGAAACTACAGCACTTAGGGGACAGCATTTGTGGTCTGGCAGTTCATTAAGCAGCTGGTAACCCATCTGATAATAGAATATGAAGCTGGAGATGAAGTCAGCAGGGCTCAATCAGATAAGCAGCACCCAGTCCAGTTCCCCAGTGAGTGAGCAATGAGCGATGTGAAGTCCAGACTACGGAGCCTGTTTCCCTGTGTGTCAGTATAGAGCGGGAGGCATTGTGGCTGGACTGCCTTCAGCCAGCATCAATGTTACAGTACTTCCTCCTGTCTCTGAGAGAGAAAGGGGGGCCAAGGTATGACAAGCTGGGAGGGAAGGGGTCTGCCCTGCTGTCTTTGATGTAAAATATACCTAAGTACATCTACTGCATAAGACAGCCCAACACTGGGACAACTTTGCAGAAAGCAGCATCTGATTAAGAGCAATATTCCTCCTTCTCTGTCCTCCTGTGGCAAAGGAAACCCCCTTTGAGATGCAGGGGTCACAGGGCTGGAGCCTGTAAATCCCACAGCAAACTCCAGGAAGCATTTCAGAACCACCTTTAATCGTAATAAACAGGGTAGAATGCTACTAGCTGAGTATTAACTGGATCTGAGGACTACCACCAAGAGCTGAAGGCTGGGGGAATGCTTGCTGAATGTTGCTGCACTGCACATTTGATCTCCCGTTTTTCCATGGTCTGTCTCCCATGCTGAGAGGCTCAACAAAGCTTAAACAGAAACTGTAGCCCTGCAGCTCCAATGATGATGGATCCATGCTTCAGGGAAAAGGTTCTTCACACCACAGACCTCACCTTAGTACAGGCAGGGTGTAAGTAACCTGAGTAGCAATTGCTTCAGAGGTCTGATTTCCAGCTCATTTAAGTCAATTTAAAGACTCATTACATTTGATTGCCTTTGGATAACTCTTCAAGCATGAACATGTTCTTAAATACTTTAAACAGCTTTTCAAGCTGACAGTTTATGGGAACGCATTAGTGGTACCAGCACCATGCTGGGCCAAGGGCTGAACATCGGCATCTTGGCACAGCTCCCAGGAAAAAGGGAGCTCACATCACCCTGTGAGTCGGAGCCCTCACTCCAGCAGCAGCTGAAAAATGTTACCCATCAAAAAGGCCATTAAAAAAGACAGATTTGACTCTGGTGGCCAAATGCTGAGGCTTGCTCCTCCTATGTTGTCACAGCAGGTAACACCGTGTGTCTGTCAAGCCACCCATGCCAGCTTTGGACACTGCAGTGGGGTGCCACCAGGAACTGGCAGCTAACACACAACAGTGCTGCTCTTACTTTAAAATTGCTGCTGGTTTGTGGGGGAGTGGGGGGAGGAAGAAGTGTGGGATTGGGAAATCTCTCTCTCTGCTCAGAAAGCCAGTATTGAGAAAGATAGCAGCCTACTTCCTGAGAATGGAACCCATGCTAATTTTGCCTTCACACCCACAAGGCTGGTTAAAGGGCATGTAGGGTTTGGCTCCTTAAGGGAGAGTTGATTTAAGACTAATAGTCTATTGCCTAAACCTTTCTTCTCTTACACCAACCTCTTATTTTTTGCCCACTAGCATTCCCCTGTTGCAAAGTCTCCGGAGAGACAGTTACCCTAACAAATGGCAAGAAAAGTCTTGGTCATTCACAAAGGCCTGAGCTCTGCTTCTGCTGTTAATTGGGGTTTCAACCCAATTCTGAATACTTACAGCAGTAATGGCAGATTTGTGATGTCTGGTTTTAAAACACAACAAAAATATGCCATCATGGCTTTTGTAGTTCACTGTTACTGCTCTCTGCAATTCCCTGAAAGGAGGTTGTAGCAAGGCGAGGGTTGGTTGGCCCATTCTCACAGGTAACAAGTGATAGGACCAGAGGAAATGGCCTCAAGTTGTGCCAGGGGAGATTTAGATTTGATATGAGGAAAAATTTCTTCACTGAGAGTGGTCAGGCATTGGAACAGGCATCCCAAGGAAGCAGTGGAATCAGTGTCCTTGGTAGTGTTCAAAAGATGTGTGGATGTGGCAGCTAAGGGATATGGTTTAGTGGTGAACATAGTGGTGTTACATTAACGGTTGGACTTAATGATTTTAGAGGTCTTTCCCAATGTAAATAATTCTATAAGATTCTCTGTGAATCACCAGATGTTGTCATTTTGATTTTTGTTCCCAGAACAGGTATTAATCAAATAATCTTGTTGTTTGCTGGTTTTGTTCATAATTTATTTTGAGCTTGCTGTAGTAGTATTATTGTCAATATATTTACATTTAAAAATTTTAATAAAGGAAAGGATGACTATGGAAAGGATGCATAATTCAACAGTTCTCTCACTGCTTTTTACAGGTAACATGCTGTGGTAACATTTCTGTGATGACTAAAATCTGATCATCCATTTTCTTGGCCCTCCCTGTAGCATGCCTTTTGTACTAATTTCCTGCAAATATTTGTCTATTGTTTTCTTGATATAAACATTGACAGTAAGAAAATATCAAAGTCTTGAATGATGAAAATGCCTCCTCAATTTTAAATTCACCCAGTATTCAGCATCAGTTGTTTGCACTTTGATGCAACCAGCTAAAAACTCCCCACCATATGAGCAACAATGACAAATTGTTGCTCAGTTATCTGAGCAACAATGACAAATCAACACAGTTCACTGATCACTATCAGAAAAATGATGAAAACTTCCCACAGCTTGAGCTTTGTGTTTTCTAGATGAGAAATGATTCACTAACCAGGGCAGATAGTTGAGGGTGCTGGACAGTGGATGCATCAGTATCTCACAGTCTACCAGTACACAGTGCACAAGGTGGGAAATGTCAGTGGCACTCACCAGGTATGATGCACAAAACATGACTGCTTTACACAATAAAATCTATTGGCTATTCCTGTGCCACACCTTACCTAACACATTCTTTCCCAGGGTACTTTGTGTGTCTCGTACACACATACAAAAAAAAAATTATATGAAAGCACTTTTCAGTAATTTGAAAGGAGTATGTTCCTACAAGCCAGACCCAGGGCATTATTCCCTCCTGCTGTGTGTGGAAGTAACATGATTCCTGCTCTTTCTTCCACCAGAAGCCAACCAATCCTGCAGATCCTCTCCCACGCACACCACTCCTGCAGCGCCGCAATGAGTCACTCAGATCACCAGCTTCTCAATGCTCAGAGTACTTGTTTCATCCTCTTCATTTGAGCCAAAATACCCAGGGAGGTCGATCATCTGCTGCTCTGCCTCCGTTAAGCCAAAAGTAGAATTGTCATAAAAGGCAAACTCAGGGTCCAACGGGAAGCTCTGGCACTTGTCCCTTCGATACTGGGCAGGGCTGACACTTAGGCCTCTCTGGGAATTATCTTTGCCATTTGGGCCTGTTTCTTTCCGCCACACACCTTTGGGGTTAGGTGAAGGGCCCCTCTTACTTCGGCTGGGCTCAGGCTTCTCAGCTGCTTTCTCCTGACCAGCAGGCTGGCGGTCCGTGATCAGGTCCAGCTTCCTCACCGGGGGCCCTGCCCTGTGGTGGGTCTTTGTGCCATGGCCCTGTGGTTCACATGCCAGCACAGTGCTGTGGGGCTGATCCAGCTTTTCACAAGCTGGATTAGTATTTCTTGATTTTGGCCGTATCCTGCCCTCCAGACCCTGGTCCCATGTCCTGGTCCTGGAGTTGTAGAGAGGAGTCTGTCGGGGTGTGAGAGTGGACATGCTTCTCTCTCTGAAAGGCCTGGCCTTTTTAGTTTCATGGAAACTAGCTGTTCTTCTGAACTGTGAGTTTCTATGACAGCCCCTCTCAGGCAAGTCCACCCTGTTATCCTGGTGCTTGAAATGACCTCTTCTGACCAAGGTTTGGGTAGGGCTCATTGCAGGATTGGCCTGTGAGAATGGAAAATCCAGCCTAGGGTGAGAGCCTTCTCCCAGGAACTTGGGCTGACTGGCTGGCTGTTCCAGAAATGGAGATTTGATCCGAAATTTGTTTGCTGCTGCCTCCTCTTGGTTTTCCCCGCTCAGGGGAAGCATCGTGGTGGCACCAAGAACCGTGTCCGTGAGAGGATTCTGAGAGACGTGGTACACCTTAGTGGTCTCCGTCAGGCCTTTCTTCTTCATCTCTTTCAGCTGCTGCTGTGCCAGGCGGTAGCTGAAAATTGGAGGGATTATTTTTTGGGCATTTGGCTGAAAGTTTTCACTTCCAGAGGCATCATCTTCTTGGGCAAATTGGAGGCTTCGCCTGTAAGTTAGGGGAATGTTGACAGGGGCGTCTCCCCCTTCAGCAAAGCTGTCCCGTTGCTTGTTGCCTTGGCAGATGTTCTCCTCGTCAGAGTTTTTCCGGAAGCCAGGGGAATGGACAGAGTTCCGTCGGACAGCGGTGCTGCATTTCTGAGCTCTGCAGAGCTTCCTCCAGAGGGTGATAAGAACAGTGGCAAAGATGATGAACAAACATAGTGAGATACCTGTGATGGTAACTATATTATTTGCTTTCTGGTCCTCTCCTGGCTGAACAGATGGTGGGGTGGGAGGCTGGACAGCTGTAAGAAAGAGCACACACATGTCAGAGTTGCACTGGCAGCAGCATTTTGGTATTTGAGGATGGATGCTTCACTACCAAGGAAAATAAGCAATTAATACAGTACAGGAAGTTGTCTGCCATTAAAATTTGCTCATTGGAGATGACTTACTACTTGATGACTTCATACTGGCACAAGTATCTACTTACTTTAAACCAAGGCTCCCACAGACCTTTTAAATGTAATCATTATTTTTTTCCTGCTCTGCAATTTCCATAAGGTATTCCTAAATTCCTGTAAAATGGAGGAATTCTGTTTGCCTCTCTTTATGAAGTACTTTTAGGTTCTCTGTTGAAAAGCGTCGTAAAGAGGGTAAAAATAATTCAACCCAGGCTAGTACTTCAGGTATCATTTTAAAACTATTTTTGGGAGAGCTTAAGTGGGTGTGAGAATTGAAATGAGTTTGAAGAGAGAGGTAGCATCAGGACAGGCAATGTAACTTTTCTAAGCAGTCCTCTGAGGATGCTTTTACCACTGTCCGGTGCCACAGTCCCAGAGGAAAAAAACCTTCCCATGCCACAGCAAGCTTTCAACTGAAAGTGTCATTGCTCTTTCTCCAGCATTCTACTATTGATACCCTTCTGCTGTGGACTGGAGATGGGACTTTAAACAGGGAAGAATAGTCTGCAAACCCTTCTTCACTGAGAGGATAATTAGCCACTGGGATAGGCCCCCTAGGGAAGTCATCACGGCCAGAATTCACAGGCTGTCTGGATGATGCTCTCAGTCATATGGTTTAGCTTTAGTAGTCATGGGGGAGAAGGGAGTTGGACTCAATGATCCTTATGGGCCACTTCCAATTTGAGATATTCTATGATTCTAACCTGTAATGTGACAATCTCAGAGCTGTCCACAGCCCTGTTTAAACCTCACACTTGCCCATTCCACCCCATTACAGATGGCTGAACCAATGACAAATTGGTAATTCTTTTTTTGAATGAGGTCTCAAGAATTTCAGGGGCAATCTTGAGCAGAATACAGTATGGTTGAAAGTGGATTAAATTGGTCCAGTAGCTAATTTTAGTATCTGTTAACAGTACCCAAATTCTTCTGGTCAGACATCAGCTCCACAAAGCCATGAAATTTTTTTTGGAGGACAAGGCTGATTAGTTGCAGTTGACAAGAGCTGGCCATGAAGTTGTGAGTTCAAACTAAACCACTGAGCAATCCTGCCCTAGTCTCTAGTTTTATCCAGAACCTTCCATCAGGCTGACAGTCAGTCAGCTGTAAGACTTGGCAGCTGCTCCTGCCTGCACCACACTGACTGTCCAGGAATAGGAAATGTGAGTGCAGAATAACAAGAACTGGACACCATGTACTTCCCGTAATTCAGGAGAACACGCATTCAACAGCAAGCTGATAGTGCAGCTGTTAGGTGGGCAGCATGCACAAATGCACTGATGAACACAGGCCAGAAGGCCTCAAGCTGCTACAGAACAGACATGCAAGGTGCTGGGCTGGGAAGGAGATCCATTTCCCTATTTCAGGGCTACCTAACAATCCCAAATCCTCTAAAAAGTCTTGCCACTAGATTAACTTTGTGTCTCTGACAGCTTGAAACCAGCTTAAAGAACAAGACCACTGCCTGCTGAATCTTATAGGAGAATCTCTAAAACTTGCATTCAGTCCAATGCCCCTGTGCCGGAGCCTGGAGCACTGCTGTTCTGGACACCTGAGCAGGGAGTGAGCAAGCTGACCTCGGGGAAGCAGGCAGAGCCAGCATTTGCTCTGTTCAGGAACACTGCAGCAGAGCAATTCATCATTTTTCATCCTTCTCTCAGTTGTGTTTACTAATCGATATTTTCTGAATACTCCATTGTCTCTTTGTAATGCACACTGTGCTGCATTGTTTGGGATACACAGTTAACAGCAAGGAACTGCGAGCTTCCAAACAGGACTGGGTCCCTATGGTTTGCTCCCTGCACCTCATTGGCCCCTGCACCACGTGCTGGCCTTACTCATTCAGCCATTTGCTCCATCTGCTGGACTAATGACTGCAGAGTTATGCTGGAAACAGAACCTATCTGCTTCCGAAAGCTGCAGACTGCTGGAGTGGGAAAGGAGAGGGTGACACTCCCAGCTTGAGATAAGGCAGTGGATGAACACTGTAAAGACACAGTGTCAAATCACTTCTTGAGCAAGCTGAGATTCAATAGGATGAAATCATGTTTGTGGTTCTGTAAAGGAAGATGCCCATGTGAGAGCAGGAGGGTTAGAAACCATGTGCAAGACAGAAGCGAGGTATTTCCTACAGATGATCCCACAGCAATGGGTGCAGATGCAGGCTCCTTTGTATCTGTGCTCTCTATGTATTAACCCTCTTTATTAACCCAGAGACTTCACTGGAACCCAGGGATTGTCCAGACCTGATGAGTCCAACCAGACTGCCACAGGTGTGTGCACAGTCTATGCACAGGATGGTTGGAAACCATCATACACCTTTTACAGCTGCACACCTGCACGGGAGGAGACCCCTCTGAGAAACACCAGAGGCTTGTCACCTCCAAGCATGCAAAGCAAGGTCCACACACAAATTGTGCTTTCAGCACATGCTCTGCATGCAGGTAACCCCCTCCAGCAAGCTCCCTGCACCAGGAGTGCTCTCTGAGCTCAAGAGGTGGGGAGGGAAACTGGCTGGCAAGAAGCCAAACCAAATTATATATTTACAGACATGCTGCTCCAGCAGATAGACAGGAGGCATGGGACAGCACAGCTCAACAACAACTTTGGAAAATCACTAACAACCCAAATGCATTTTGGTGGTGGCATTACTGCCCACAGCAGCCTCAGAGAGTCTGGCATAGAGAAGACAACTACAGCAGGGCTGGTTTAATCTGGGGGCCCAAAGCATCTGAGTTGTTCCTCTCTGCTTTCACTCACAGCTTTACTAAATAAGCAAACCCACAAGGTCAGTATTTTCAAGTCATAAAAAACATTAGACCTGTTAAAACATTCCCAGTGCTTCATGAACACTGACAACATGCAATACCTGGCTTAATGGAATATAATTTTTAGTATTTTCCATTCACCCAAACTTTTGTTAACTACAACTCATATCCTGCAGTGTTCCACAACACATTTCAGTCCTGCCTGTATATTTTTGAGGCCTTCATCCTCAGACACCTTGAAGCTGGCTCAAGCTAACACTTCCATTAAAAACGTAGTCCTTCCCTCTTCCTGCTCCAGCTGCACATTCTCTCCCCCTGCTGTCCTTTCCTTTTCAATGGTACAAGCACCACAGTGGCCATGTTCTAAACAGCTCCCCACATCCCTAAACTGTCCATTTTTTAGCTGTCTCCATTCCAGTTCTACACACTGCACTTTTGCAAGCAGAAAGAAGTGCCTGCAAGCAGCCAAAGCAAGGAATAAGGCATTGGTCACTTTGTAATAGCTTAAGACATCTGTTCAATTATAGTCTGAGATCCTAGGACCTGCACAGCTCCTGGGCATCTTTTCTTCCCCATCCCTGCCTCCTGTGGCATCTACGGGACACAAAGTCACTGGAGCTTGTAAATCTGCTTTCTGGTCTCTGTGGTCTTGGCATCAGGACACTCCTTTTCTGTAAGGAGTTTGCAAGAAGCAGAAGTTTTACACAGATTGAGCACCAGCACCCTGCTAAAAGAGGTCATGCCCCTCAACAATGGCTGTCAGCACCCAACTATGGTGCTGGCACAGCCTCATCCAGCCTGAGGGTCATGTGTCTGCTGTAATCCACCTATCATCTTACAGAAGGCTCAGGTCTCCTGTATCTTCACCCACTTGCCACCCACCAGCAGTTACCAACAGTTATTGATAGGCAATCAGTTGTTACCGATAGACAAGGGTTTATAAAGGCTTCCTAAAGCCTTACCTCTCAGTAACAGCCAGCCTGCCCTGTCACAGGCCAGCAGCAGTGGTAGGCTGGAGCAGGGGGAGACCTGGCACTGCCACCTCAAAGAACTCACAGAATGGCAACCTCAACACCACAGGTCCAGCTGGAACCAGCACCCTTTTTTAACTGACTTTAACTTTTTAATAGGTTTCCACTGGAGTCTTTGGCTTTCACTACTGAACATGTTCTGGTAGCCCCAATATCTCTCCTTCTGGACTTCTCCACTCCCTGACCATCCTGGAGATTTTAAACTGCTTGCATTGCACCCACAGCATTCAGAAATATTATGCCTTGGAGCCCTATCTCCAGTCTCACAATCAAATGCACAGGCTCCTGGCCCCCAAATCAGTATGACTGAAAGAGAGATGGGATGTTTCCATTTTACATTTTTTCCAGGGAAATCACATGACTGGAGGAAGAGGAGAGCAAAGCTACATACACACACACTCCTCCAGCGAGCACAGGGAAGTCTCCCTTGGCGATCCAGCGCAGCCTGGTTTTGCCGGCGAGGAGGTGAGGCACTCTCGGAAGCGCTCCCGGATGCCGTCCCCACAGGTGACACTGCACGGGCTCCAGGGCTGCCACCGGCTCCACGTTTCTACAAACACACAAGCTCACAGCAATGAGGAACTGTCTGTCTCCTTACCTTTAAAGACACAGCCATTTGTCTTCTTTTTGAGAAAAACAGCAGCAATAAACAACCAATGTAAACAGCAAGACAAAAAAAGCAAGACAAAAAAAGCAAGTGGCATCCAGGGATGAGCCAAAGCTTCCACTTGTTTTTCTTTTTTCACCCCAGTGTCAGCCTGCAACACAGTGGTCAGTCAACTGGCAGGCAGGTTCTGCCTGGAACAACAGCAAAAGGAAATGAATCTACAGATCTTTGAAGTGGGCTGGTAATTTATATATTCATCCAATTCCTGTCTGACAAACAGTGCATTTACAGCAGGATAACTTGATTGACTGAAGTACAGTTACTGCTGATATATTTATATGACTGTGACAGGATGATAAGCCTACAAGGCCTAATGAAATGGTAACATTGGTTTACTCTTTATTTTCTTCTCAGCACATAAGTGTATTATTGAATCATTCATCTGACAACTTACAGCTCTCTATTGTTTTATTGCTTATGGTTAGGCAATTTACCCAAGATGAAATTTTGCATGTTCATTTATTTATTTAAAGTGGAGGCAGACTCAGGTTCTAACACTACATTATAATTTTTTAATGTGTAATAAAATCCCTCTTTTTCTTAGACAACATCCTCATCCAGTGATCTCCACATGTGAGCTTTAGAGCAGTGAGAACCCAGAGAGAGAAAGATGGGACCATTCCTGCCCCTATCTCCCAGGTGTGACACTGAGGCAGGGCCACAACTTTAAATTCCAAACTAATGCATGAGTTCAGATGCAATCTTAAAAGATAAAACCCCCGGGGATGCTCCTAAGTGTCAGCTGACTTTGACAGAAAGAAGAACAATAGACTACATATCTCCATTTCCCTGCTCACAGATAAAATAGAAAAACAGCTAAATAATTTTTTTTTTTAAATAGACCAGGTTAAACTTTGCTCTTTTAGATAATTTGTGATGTTGCTACTGCCAACACAAGCCATGATTTTTAATTTTATTATTGCTGCTAGCATGCCCCAAGCCCTTAACCAATTTATGGTGTCAAAGCACTAGAGAGTGTTGTATGACTGATAAGGGCTTTATGATTTCAAGTATTGTTCCTAGTGTTTATTATTTTAAAATGTTTCTAACAAGAATAAATACAGATGTGTTTCAATAAACATGAAATTGTAACTGCTTTGGGCCCTGTCCTGGACAGTTTTGTGAGCACATCAGCATTAATGTGAGAGCCTAAGAGGACCAGTGGGGCTGCCCTCCTGGTGCAGGTCCTCACCTGCACTGCAGGATGGGGCCCCAGAGTTTGAGCTTACACTTGTGCTGCCAGCCGCAGCTGCAGCGTATGTGTGGGCACACACACACGTTTGTGTGCCTGCATGCCCCAGGACATCTCCCTGATGTCCACAGAGGAGAGATGGGCATGGCAAGACACCCTGGTGCTGCTGCAGTTCTAAGCCCACACAATGTCTGGTGACCACCCTGGCTGTTTGTAACCAACTCCACCACAATACTGCAACATCCAAGATCCCAGGTTGTATTTCACTTTGTGCTGTTCATGCACCTCTCCGCTTTCACCCCTCTGTCTCTGTCTCTGGAGCTGAGCCCAAAGGCAGGCTGAGCTTTCAGACTCCTCCTTCAGTTTGCAGCCATGTCAGTACCTGGTGAAGTGCAATATGGAGCAAGTGTATGGTGTCAAAGGAAAAGAGAATCAGAGGATGCCAAGAAGCAGGTAACTGAGGAAATTTGTTGGGACAGGGAGTCCCACAAAGGTACAGACCATGGACAGTTTGCAAAACCGTGTCAGTTAGCAAGCAAAGCTATTACTGAGGGCAGGAAGAAAAAATGTTCATAATCTATAGTCATTCAAGGTCTCATTGATGCCTTCTCAAAAAGACTTAATGGTATCATAGTATCACATATATCATAGGATCTCACAACAGTTTTCTTCATCTCAGGACCATTAAGGACTCCAGCAGTGTCCCTCACCACTGCAGAGGGGCAAGTTGAAGGACCTACCTCCTTGTAGACCTAGATCCTCTTTGTGTGAGCAGTTTGTTGAGTTGCTGTCAAAATTTCCAGTGCATGAGCTAACTTGTTTCCCTCTCTCCACATTTCTTGCTCCTTTAAACTTCTGTTAATTAAGGTCAGATGCAGAGCCAGATTCAGAAAGGTTCTGGTTGCCTCCAGTGCTAACACTGGTGATAGTGGAGGGTGCTCAACAGTCTCCACATTGATGCCTGTGGGTTTCAACATACAAGAATATTTAGGACAAGTAATTTTCCAACACTGACGTCAAACCTAAGATGTGCCCATTGCTCCAGGACACTTTTCACTGACTTGGACATTGGCAAAAGGTATAGAGTTCCTTAGCAAAAACACATGGGACCCATAGCTTTAGGGCTAAGAAATGTGCCCCAGACAGCAGAAGAACAAGAAATGTTCCAGCTCCCATGAAAGATGGGAGATTTAAACTCCTACATCTTGCTCTGCAATTCCCTGCAATTACCAGAATGTAAAAGAAAATGAAGCACAGTTTATTCTCCCCCAAGGAAATGAAATGATTAACCTCCATTTAAGACAAACAGATTGAAAGTGCCAGGGGAAAAACCAGAAGGTATGCACTGCAAACTAGCTCTAATAAGCGTGAGGTTTCTTCACACACAATTGAGGAATCAATTATCAATGTGAAGACATCTAACTGATGAGTTATTTTGAAATAGCTGACAGTTGGCAGATCTGCCAACATGAAAGATAAATGCAATTAACTGTGTTAATTATTGCTCTGCATAAATTTCTCCCCTCAGATTTCCATGTTCACAAGATTTTGTGCATGCAGTGCTGTCCATCAGCAAGGGACACTCAGCATCATCCTTCCAGCCTGACACACATGACAGTCCTAAACACTTCAACCAGGCCAGTGGTGTGGGACAAAATCACTAATTACTGACAGGTTCATGTAAATATCTATGCTAGCCTAGGGGATTGCAGGATATTTTTGGAAGCTGAGATCAGTTTTTAGGTCCTGAGAATGTATTTACATACATTGTATTGGTGTTCAGACAAGAACTTGGAAAACAACCTCTCACCCTTCCATGGAAATGAAGCCTGGGTGCACTGAAATGGTGGCATGTTCCAACAGGTTACTAATTTGGACAATGAAAGGACAAGGATCCCTTTGAAGAAAGAAATCCTAGACTCTGGGAAAATTAAGAGTCTTTTCCCCACAAACAGGCATTGTTAAGCAACGGGGAGGCACAACCTAAAAATAATTTTTTCCCAGAAGCTGAGTCTGTAAAACCTGATTTATTCCTACTGTGTGGAGATGAAGCATTTACTGACACAGGGAAAGTGGACTGGGTACAAACCAGCCCTGGCATAGCCAGATCGCCTGCATATGCCTGTTTTAAATAAATACCCAACCTAGGTACAGATTCAGGCAGCAGAGCTAATTGGTTCCCAGACCTTCCTACCAACAAGCAGATCTGATTCACACAGTTTTATTCAGGAAGCAAAAATTTGACAGAAATTGTACATCCCTGCCTGACCTCTAGATGCTCCATTTACTCCTCTCCTCCCTTACTGATGACTTTTCTCTTCAGAATGTCTTCCCATACCTTCCTCTTTCCCTTTTCAGGCAACAGTTGCATTTATTATGCCCTGCCAACATTCCAATATTTTTTTTTTGACAGCTAGCAAAAGTCAGATGAACAGAATTCATTTGTGCTGTAGGCAACTGCAAGAGACCTCACTGTAAGTCACACCAAAGTTGAAATTGGACTCTGGAGTGTAACTAAGAATTGGAAAAGAAAGTTAACACCAGAAATATGAAAAAAAAGTGCCTTTTTCTATGCTTTAGCATTACTGATTAATATTATCAGTCTTGTCCTTAATGTTTCAAGCAGGATACAGGCTAGAACATGGGACAATCTTCTAATGACAGCAAAAGTCTCACTGCTGGGGACACTTAAATCCCAGATGAGCAAAGGACAGGATTAAGCATGGAAAAGAATGAGCCTGCAAAGCATCTGGTGCTGGGTAAGATGATGTAACAGAGTTTCCTACCTCAGACATCCCAAAAATCCAGTCAAACATTGGGGAAAAAATGAGCTGCATGTTCCTCTGTGAAACAGTGAAGAGCCCACCAAGACGAATGATGTGACTCACATCTCACTGTTAATTTTTTCACAGATTCTCCAGTTAGGATCTATAGAAAACTTCACAAGTGCTGTCTCACAATTAATGGATGTATTCCCCACCTTTAATAGATATATTCACAGTCTTGGATAGCATAAGTTTTTTTGTGACACTTATTCTGAAGCTGATGGCCTGGAATCATAGAGCTGCTGAGCTGGCCCACTCAGGGCTACTGGGAGCTTTCTCCTTCCTACTCCAAGCACAAGTGAGATTCCTGTTCCAAAAAGCTGTACTAAACTTGGCCTGAGTGAAGAGTAAAGAGAGGACTGACAAAGCATCAGGAATATAACTCATGTCTGATTTATGTAAAATAGATATGGCAAAATCATCTTTTATCTCATCATCTGTGGTTTGGATGAAGATCATTTTAATGATTCAGGAACTTTGATCTTTTACAAAACAATATCTCTGCTTCATAACAATAGAGCATATGCTAAATGAAGTAAGAACCGGCTGAGTGACAGATTGGATATGCAACTGTCAACAGAAAACCATCAGAGTGAGAATGCATTTGGAGAGATTCCAAAGGGATTAGTATTAGGCTCAGTTCTTCCCTAGTTGACATGAAAATAAATATAAACCATTACTGAGAAAATATGTCACTCCTGTAATGACATAAGCAAAGAGTGCAGCTGTATGGAGCAACATAGGGTACTTGCTAACTTAGGATAATTAAAGGAAAATAGATCCTAAATCAGCAAAGTGAAAAATGTAGGAAGAAGGAATGAAAATTGCATCTCCTGCATGGTAGACTCCATACTGAAATAGCTCAAGAGGAGTATACCAGGAAAAAGTTATGGAAAACTGCATAATGCAATCAATAGAATGAAAGCAGAGGTAGGGGTAGGGAGGGTGCTACTCATCGAGCAGCATCAGTGAGAAGGATGTCTGAACACAGCACACAAAGCTGGTACCCTGGTTGTCAAATAAACATGAGTGTTTAAAATAACAGAAAGGGAGTCAAACAGATCAGTAAATTAATCAAATCCTGAAGAAAATGCTTTCCAATTAAAGACTCAATCTTTTCAGTTTCTTAAAAAGAACACTGAGAAAATCGCGTAGATGTGAGATGACCTGGATGTGTAAATGTCTTTGTGAGGCAAAGACAGTCAAGAGGAAACAGCTATTAGAAAGCAGCAGAGTAAAATTTAGTTATCAGAGGATGAAGCTAGATTAGCTTTAGTTATGAAAAACACAAGAGTTTCCCTTTTCTAATGAATAAATCAGTATTGAGAGAAAATACCAAAAAGTCTGTTTTGTGGTGTCTCCAGTAGAAGACTGGATAACTCTCTGAGAAGGGAAGGGAAATGGTAGGCAGATGAAAAGACTAGCTGTGGGGCTCAACACCAGGGTAACTGAATGAAAAATGATGGCCCACACTGCACAGAAGCTCAGACTAGAGATTTATCACCTCTCCTTGCCTTAAACTTCATTAAGTCCAAAGCAGAAATTAGGAGACTTGAGACACACCTGTTCTTCAGCAGTCACATGTTTTGCACAAACAGCTATCAGGGATCTGCCATAAGCAGGGCACCTCAAGTGCCTGCAGCAGGGTGAGGGGGCTCAGGGGAGCTTCTTCAGAAGGAGCCAGCAGACTGATGGCCATCACAGACAGTGCAGGTTCGCTCTGTCGTGGCTTCAGGCTGATGTGCCCCTCCCAGAACACCCTGCTCCTTTCAAACGCTGCCTGCAGGCTTTGAAGTCTCACAGATACAGGCACAAAGTCAGACGTGCTGCAGTCTAATTAATTTCAGGTTGACATTTTATTTACGACTACATGGTGTGGCTTCGCTTTCATCGGCTTTGTAGATGTGATACTCTTAACTTGACAGCTATTGACCTAACTCTGCTCTTCAAGAGGCATAGCCTGAATCTTTCGAATGTGGTTGTGTCCTGGGTTGATTATGATGTTAAATTGTATTCCCATTCGTCCACCTAACCCAGACACAGGTTTTGTATTCTTAAAATTCCATCTAAGAGTAAAAGTGAGTGGAAAAGAAGCACCGAGTCTGTTATCAGAGACTGTACTTGCTCCCCCCGCATCGGGAGTTTTGACTACAGCACAGACAGACAACAAGACAAAGATCGCCTTGGCTTTCCAACTAGCCGGAGCAGAGAGCTCTTCCTGGACTGTTTTCTTTCCCTTTTTCTGAAACGAATCGAACCTGCTCTGGACTGGGGACTCGGGGGAGCACCGGGAGCTTGCACCCGTGGACTACCGGGAGCCCAGCCTGGGCAGCGGCATTTTCCAGCGCCAGAGGGACTGATAACAGAGCGAACACCTACAGGAAAGAGACCCTCTGAAGTTTGTCATCTCTTCTGAAGGGCGAGAGGTTTTGTAATGTGATATCATTCATTTTTGTGCTGGGTAGTGCTGTGCCTGTGAAATAAACAGGTTTTTTCCACTTCTCTCAGAGAAATCTCTTCCCGAACCGGTTGGGGGGTGGGAAAAAAAGGGCCACGTGGGTTTGCTTCCTGGGGGGAGCCCCACTGGAGGTTTTCTCCCAAATTTTGCCCTAAACCAGGACAGGTTGTTAGGATGGGGCTACTGAGGAATCCAGGGAGACAGAGCAGACTGCAGGAAACCATTACTTAATACAGATCTCATAAATTAAAACAGTTAAATATTGGGCACAGAATCATACCTATATCATATGCTAGTGATTTATCTGTGAGGGTAATTATCTAGATCTTATCAGTGTAACATACCACCCAGGTACAGATAAAAAAGCAGAATTCTCTCTTCCTTTTTCCTTGAGAATTACCTCCATTAAGAAAATAATATGCTTTCATTTATTCCTTTTCATTATACCAAAGGAAGAGAGGGAGTGCCAAGAGAGAATGCAGATGGAAAGTTAAGATGAAGAGAACCACGCACTGAGTTCGGCATGTGTTGAAAATAGAGGTCATTTTTAGTACGGAGAGTTAATTAAATAGCTAACAATGATTATAAGAATTTGTAAAGTAGCATAAAGTAAAACCACATGATGCCAGGTACCTCATTAAGGTAGGTTGTGTCTGGGACTGTGTGCCCTGGAGTATGTCCTACACTCCTGGCCTCCTCATGATCCTTCTCAGATACCTGTCCATGACATGCAATGGCCATTTTTTGGCTAGAGTTCCTGCACTTTCTTTTCAGGGGAACCAAGGTGGGGAGGTGAGGAAAATGATGCACACCTTAAACCTTTCAATCCAAACTCTTTGAAGTGTGCAGTTGGAAAAGATTAATTCATTACCTATAGACACAAGCCTGCTTCAAATGAGAACATTTTCCTTTAGGCAATGCAACCTAACCCAACCCAATCCCAATTCCCTTGTGCACATACAGCCCATCCCTCTCTGTGGCTGCCTTCCACAAATGAGTGATAAGAAGGGTATTTGGCTCATCCATTTCCTCTGCCATGCCACCGTGGTTTGCAGACTGTCAAACCCTAGACTGTCACTTCTAATGCTATAGCTCTGTAACATACACATGGTTTTGGTTTCTGCCAACCAGCACTCTCTCAGACCATGCCTAATCATGCTCCAAAGGATTATATGGACCACCAACTGTTCCCAGTCAGCAGACTGTACTATTCTAATCTTTCCTATAAGGAAAGGTTTGGCTATATGAATACAGCTCATGATCTGCCAGAAAGCCTCATGGGTCAGAAAATGCACCCTGGTCTGTTCTAAGCAACAGACACAGCTCAAAACACTGCTCAGAAAACCTGCCAGCTGTCCAAATGACACAGCTGTGCCTTTCACTGTAGCCAGATCCTGACTCATCTCACCACAGTTTGTGCATCTAACAGGTAGGGCTCTAAACTTCTACACCAAATGGGTAGAGAAAAAGACACCCCTGTGAGGATTCCCAGTATGTTCAACACCCATGAATCAACCTTGCAAGATGTCCCTCAACTAAAAAGCTACACAACTACTTAATGTTGGGCCCCTGGCTTTTAGACACTTAGATGCAGGTAAAACTAATCCTACCTTTAGAGTCTCCAGATCTACTGCAGTAGCTTCTTACCTCACTGAGAAGGGCAAGTTTAATTTTCAGCCTGACTAGATAGGTACATCATTCAGAATGTCCTAAGTGGTTTTAGCTGGTACCTAGTGTTGACTTAGTGCAGCCTTAAACTACCACAGTGGTACTTGTTATCAAATGTCCTTGTCTATTCCTCTATATAACAGTCTATCTTGTTCCCCCTTGCATATAATATTACAAATATTTTGTCTGGTGCAGGAGACCCAAAATCATTACCCACGTTGCCTGGGAAGAGTGCTGATTTTGGCAAAAAGAGGAAAAACATCAGCACAAACCTATATTCCTTTGGATCAGAATACACTCCTTAACTCTTGCTGGAAAATAGCTTCGGTTTGAGAAGTGGAGGAGGTCAAAGCAGTATTTGTTCTTCCCCACATCAAACAAAGTGCAGTTAAATTCTGTTCTGTTGTCTCCTGGGTGAAGGATGTTTTCATACAGCCAAGTTGTTCTTTGACTCGGATGCTTGAGAGCCTCTTTATAAACAACGATTTTTCCATTGATAGAAGTGCACGGTGGAGAGATTACGAAGACCTGAACCAAAGTTTTGCATGTGTCTTCTGCTGCCACAACCAGTCTGTATCCAAATTTGTGAAGGAGATCTACAGGTCCTATGGAGGCGATGATGGAATGTGTTTCTAATGATTTCAGTAACACAGTGATATATATTTCTTGACCAATGGGTGGGCAATCAAACTCTACCCACTGGGACCTAGACAGGGGGATTCCCTTCCTAGTTCTAATGCCCAGAGTTTCATCAGAGCTTACTCTTCTGAATTCATAAAGGGTGCTGGTGAATATTACATCCAGTGAAATCACAGTCTTGTTCATGGCACATAACTGCTCATTTGTAAAAAGTCCAACCTTAAGGGAGTTCCCAAGCACCTCTGAACTCCTGTTCAAATCAATGTGAAATACAGGCCATTCCACACGGAGGGTGGACATGCTGCTACTGCTCCACTGGGCAGCACTGCTGTTGTCACTGGGAGAGACCATTCTGAACAAGAAATCACCAGCACTCTTGAAATGGTAACACTCAAACACCACCGTCCCCTGGGACTGATTTGCTGGAAGCTGTTTTCTTGCAATTATCTCACTGGTGCTGGCATCCAGCAAAAGGATGGACACATGCTCTGCTGTCACATTACCACCACTGTAGTACTGATATTCCACAGACACTGTGTCGTTGCTGAAGGCTACATGATCCGGGTGCTCCAACAGGAGATACTCCACTTCGCCAAGAACTGAAAGGAAAAGTTCCACAACAGTATTAAGAAACAGACAAGTGATCGTTCCTCTGGAAGAAACCAAATATTTTAAAAATGGATATTAAAAGTGGTTCTCAATCTGTTTCATGTGAACCAGATCACAAAAAAAAGAAAAGGTCCTAGCAATAGCAGTTAGAGTTCAACAGCTCTATTCTGTGCAGGGATGTGATTTGGAGCAGCTCAAAATCCACTGCAGTAACACATTCAGGAAGGTAAAAACCAGTATTTTAAAGCAAACCACAAGTCACCCAAAAGATTAACAGAAAACTGAATTTATCAGAATAGATTCTCAAACTCTTCAACTTCTTTCACTTACAGATTTTTAAACAGCACAGAGGCCAGCTGTTTTCCAGCTTCAGCCATAATTTAACAAAAAAAGGACAGTGGTTTCTTATACAGATAGATGAAAAATGTCCCCCAAGTTAAATAGAATAAGAAGTCTGCATGATGCTTTTTGAAGCCTTTTCTCTTGCTCTGTCTTATGAATCTTTCATTTTGCTCATTTGCATTGCAGACACTTGAGTGAAAGAGCTGAAAATAACAGTGATGGTGACTGCAGCACTTATTCTTGTCTCAGATGTGGTGCAACATGTCTAAATGACATCATTTCATTATAAATGGCGCAGTCTTTTCAAATTCACTTCTTGCATGACCATGTTTGTGCAAGTTGCCAAATTATCCTGAGACATGCTGTAACTAGCGATGATATCTAAAGCAATAAATTGGGAAGATCACATTTCCGTTCTTAGCTCAACTACCTTCTCTGTGTTACTTGAACCTGAAGGATTTCAGACACAGAAAGGTTATCTGAAAAATTGGAACTGCATACATCTATTCCAGATAGAGAATGTGCTGTGAGACATCTTTATTTAATTAATTGTCTGGGGAAGGGCTTCTGAGTCTTGGATGGAAGCTGCCATGGAAGTGTAAAACTTCAGTTAAAGCAATCCTTTCATAAGTAGTATCAACTAACAATACTATGACTTGTTAAATCTGTTACACATGTCTTAAGATTACCTCAAAGAAAGCTTTGCTGGAAAAACACTGCAACTGCCAAGGCAAGCACTCAGCAGTCAGGAGTAGCAGGACTCATCTCACATCATATTAGACGCCTACTACTCTAAGCTTCAATTTGAGTTAGTCAACTTGGATTCGCTTTCTTCTCAGCAGGAAAAATTTTCAGGAAGAAATTCATCTGACTGGATATACACATTTACATCTGGGTGGGGTGCAGTGTGCACTAGAAAAAAAAGAGCCTATTACTTGCCACCAGCTATAACATGTCCTTAAAACAACCAGCTCCAACCACATACATAAAGTCTGAGTAAGGTGGCACACACAGCCTTACACATATAAATCCTACCTATACTCTTACATGTATGGACTAAAGCCTTTCATTTGCATTTCCACAAGACACTGCTTCATTTGGCAGATGGACGGAGCTCATTACCAGAGGGTTCTTTTGTTCTCAGTTTTCTGTTGGTGGTCCTATGTATTATTGACTGCACACTGTCCAAAATCTGTCCTGATAACACAGAATTATTCATTTCCCCTATGGACTCTTCTATTGTCCTTTTATTGTAGTGCATTAGAAATATTAATGACTTTTTCCTTCTAAAATCCCTGAAAAATGAGAGGAGGTCATTATTCTTGTTTAGTGTGTTAGGAACCAAGGCACAGGCATGAAGGTAAAAACTGTCAAGTACCAACTAATTGTGGTGCCCTGTGAGAGCCAGGACTCGATTTCAAATACAATGGTCCTGAAGACATCCAAAGCAGGATCCCATTCATCGCAGCTGTGGTGAGCACATGGCACCAAAGCAAACCTGATCTGAACCTGGATACCCAGAAAGGAAGAGACAGACCCTAAACACCTGCGAAAAACGTCTCCCTGAACTGCCCAGCAACACATTCTCCTTGCTCTTCATGCTTTGGCTCCGTCATGTGTGCCTGCCCATATTTTACAGTCCTGCTTCTACCACCATCTACTTTCAGTATCTCTTGGGTACTAGCCTAACTCCATTATTGTTACCACAGTTCTTCAAATTCCTGCCCTCATCTCTTTACCTTATAGCTCTTTTATCTTCTGCTCTTCCTTGGGCCTGCAATTAGCTACAGCACATTCCCACTTTCCTTGCTCAGTGCTAGCATTCCATCAGGGAGCACAGGACAATTAACTTTTGTGTCCAATAATGTTGGAGAATTCTTTACCTGGGCTGGAGCATGCACAGTGTTGTATGGGGCTGGCAAGAGGAGCCAGCGGGAGTTGAGGCACACATGACCCTTCAGAGAATCTCATTGCTAAGTCATCTGCAAGGATTTAGATCTGGACCAGATCTAGGCAAGTCTTTGTAAGGATGGCAGAAAGCATGTCCCAGGCCACTGTGAGCATTATAACAAAGATGAAGTTCCCACAGCTGTGTTAGAGTTTCCCAGTGAAATGGCTGTAAGTTGCTGGGGTTTTGCTTCTTTGATAGTGGGCAAAATGATGAATTTCTCTATATGGTAATAAGCTAGAGTCAACGTAGCTGAAACATTAAAGGAAAAGGAAATCAGACCGTGGCAAAAACCCAGCATGAAAAATTTCAATTTTAAGCTGTAAACTTACAACAAAAACAGTCAATCAATAGTAATGAAAAGCACTGATGTTTGTACCTACTGCTTTATTGTCCTTAGTCTCTTTTACAACTGTCTTGACCCTCTTGCACTGCTTTTTTTTTGGAATGGCTGAGACAAGAAGTAACACCACTCTGTATGTTGGGAGGAAGGACAGGAGGGAGGGCAGGGGACTGGTGTGGAGCAGTCCCTCAAACCCTAAGTGCAGATGACTCAGGAAGTGAGGAAAGTGAGCATTACTGGAAGATGCTGTTACAGCACTGCAGAGATCTGGCTGGTGCACCCCAGTTCACAGCATCCTTTCCCCCAGTTTGGTAAAAAAGAACTTTGCACATTTGGACAGCCCACACAGCAGTTTTTCACAATGCTCTGACAGACACCAGTTAGAAGGAGACAGCTTCCACTGCAAGCTCCTTCAGCTGCCCTCCAGCCTACTACGTACCCATGACTCTGCCACGTGCCAAAGCTTGGTCCCAAACAATTGGACAGCCAGTCAGGGGCATCTTTCAATGGATTTGTATCATTTTCGTTGTTATTACAATGGTCTCCCATTGAAAGAAGTCTGGCTGTGGTACCAACAACCTGCCAGGGGAGTCTTTGTAAGAATTCACACTTTAAAAGAAAAGTCCTTGCTTTCACTGAAGACCAAGAAGAATTACTTGAGGGTGCTATTCAGATAGTAATTTATTTTTAAGTGTTTTTAAGGCAACTTGGGTTGTGCTGTTGGCTTGTCATCCATCAGTAACACAGAGCTAAGTAGAACAAAAACATTAGTAAAACTGATAAGAAATGAGAATACAGTTTAGTTGGACGTTAGGGCTTCTTATAGCACTTCAGTAATTTTCCAGACCATACTGGATCACTTAAAAAATAGTGTTGCCTGAAACAGAATTATATAAGTGAAATAGTTATCTAAAATTGATGTACATAGTAATATTCAAAGATATGAATATGCAGAACCGTTTGGAAGCAATTTTCTGAATTATGGGCTGCCCTTTAACTGGAAACAAGGTGAAAGTTGATGCACCTAAAGTTTGCAGCAGAGATTTAGCGCATTAACTGCACATTATAATTACTTGCTGTGCCACGCTCTGTAAAGTTCATGAATAATATCTTTTACCTCTGAGTCAACCAGCTGTGAATGTCTACAGGACTGGCTCACCTAGAACCAGTGGATACTGTAATCATTTATCTCACGTCCTGGCTCCAGTGAATTTAATACTCACCTTCACGGTATTACCTACCCAGTACAATGTACCTACCTGGGCTGGTTAGCTGTCTTATTAAAAGAAGAAATGTTACAGAAAGCCACAGACAAGGGTCTTTACTTCTGCTACAACCAAATTCATCTAAAAGATAGAAATTCTAGGTTCTCTACATCTTTTAGGGATCCCTTGTCCTGCAGCAGAGATGAAAGATGCACAGAGGAATGGGTAGCATATTTACTGTTCAGTCATTACTTATAATCAGTTTTTCCTCACTTACACAAGGACAGCAAACTGTGTATTTGTCCACTTCTCTCTTTTGTAAGACATCTTCAGCTGTTTGATGTTGTCTTGCATCAAACAGCTCATTCTGTAAGTAGGGATTAACCACTCCTTTTCCCATGTTTTCCATGTTGTACTTATTTCTGCAGTGCACAGCTTAATCCTTCAGCATGGTTTGACAACGTACTACAGCTGTCAGAACAACGCTGGCTTTTAAACAAGGAATGAAATTTTCTAAAACTCACCAATTGCTTAGGAATTAAGAGTCCCATTTTCAGAATTTCTAATTTACTCTGCAATAAGAAAGTAATTTGCAAACCTACTTTCTACTTAGTATATTTTTGGAAAGGATAAGACACCATACATATGATGCCTTCCATCTTGTAGACATCTTGAAGGTTTCTGACTTGAACTTGGATGTCTAACTTCCCTCCTTGGCAGCTGATGGTGAGAAGGAGGTGCTTTTTCCTTCTACACATCTCAGTTGCAGATGGGTAAGAGCTGCTTTCAGTAAGTATGGATTTGTGCATGGACTACTCAAACAAGACTGACTGACTACCTGCCTAATTTTATGTGACTAACATTGAATGAGTATGAACATCATCCTTTGGCTTCTCATATCAAAGGAAAGAACACCTTTGCTGTACTCAAAGGTTCTCTGGGCAGCAGCTTAGATACATCAGATGGGGGCTCACTCAGCCATAGGAGGTTGGCTGTACTGTAGATGCTCACATATGAGCCAACCACACAGGTTCCTTTCCCTGTAATGGAGAGAAATAGGTAGTTCTGTGCACATTTCCACCCATCCTACTATGGCTACCTAAACCAGGCCTATCTTCCTTGATATCTGTTAAATATTATGAAATATTAGTCTTACAAGAGAGCAGTTCCAGTTACTACTTCTAGCACAGACAGTCCCTTGATGGTCATGGAAATGTGTTCATTTATCCCATTAATTTCTCTGAGCTAATTTACAGCAGGAAAGGGTCCTGACACTTATCTAAAGGGGCAGTTTATGCAAGTTGCATTTTCCACCAAACTACTGAATAAGATCTAGATTAAATTCTGTGCCTATCAGTGGTGGCTTCTGTAGCATTTCATTTCCGCAGATCACCTGGAAACATCACCAGTCAAAACCACCTTGTGAATGCACATCACAGTTTTCCCTTGACAGCTCTAATACTCACCGTAGTCACAGAGCACTACTAACAACAGATTTGAAAAATCTTTCAACATCTGTTTCATTCTGACCAGTGAGATCCGGGGTCCTTTTACTCCTCATGTCCCTTCTCAGCTCCAAAGTGCCAGCACGTTTTCCAAGAACACCTAAAAGTCAAAAAATTACAGCTGTGTCAACTTTGCTTCAATACAAGAAGACATACCATTAATAAGTTAAAAAAGTATTAAAAAACTATTAATTAACATTTCTCTCATTTACTTAACAATCACTAACACTGTATAAATGCATCTGAATAAGCACAGCTGCAACTCACTGTACAATACTTTTCCATTCTGAAATGCAGCTACTGAGCCAGAACAACAAAGACAGATAACAACAATTTTATCTTTGCACTGCAGAGACTGCTGCTGTGGATATCTTATATTATGACCGAGGCTCACAACAGCAAAATAATGAGTATTTTATACAAAATACAATGCTGAGCTCAGCACATACCAATATTGGAGATTTATTGCTGGTACACAATTCATATCCTTTGTCAGCTGCTTTCAAGTACAAAAGCAGCTCAGCAGCAAAGTGCTTTTTTTAGTCATCGAACTCCTCTGTTATTCAGGTCTAGTAATACACTTAGTGATCTTACCAGATTTATAATAAATCTGTAAGTGCCTTTTATATCATTCCGACTGCTCAGATGGAGAAGGTGCTAACTTCCACTTTTTCCTCCATAATTTAAGTTTACATTCACTACAGCCTTTGCTGAGCCAATAGGAATAGACTTCTTTTGCCAAGTTTCCCAGTTGTATGTCCCTGTGGCTTAAACTAGTCCTTATGAGTCTTGCAACAATTAGATAAAATAGGTTGAAAGCACAATGATCGCAGCAAAAAAGTTTCCTTCAGAAGCGTAAGTAGGAGGGAATTAAAAAGAAATTCTACTTAGAAGCCATTTCAAAATATAAGAATTGCTCTCCTGTGTTTCACAGGAGCACCTGTAGGTCGGTCACTATGCCTACCATCTCACAAACACATAAGAAAGGTCTTGATCCATCAAGTTTACAACCTAATTTTATGAGAGAAAGCTGGCACTGGAGCAGGCAGAAGCTAGGAGTGACCCAACTCTGGAGGATAATGATAAAACATAGGAACCAAGTATGGCAAAGATCACGTATGTCTTTAGGAATCACAAATAAGATATTTCAACAATTACACTGCTTGTCTTGTTGAACTAAGAGGCAGCAGACATGTTACTTGAAAGCTTTTTGAACTGCTCTCGGTGCCAAGTGGCTGGAGAGAACAATTTCTAAGAAGAGACTAGCAGCACAGCCTTGCTCAGTAAAAGCCCATTACAATAATAGCTGCAAATATCTGAAAGGAATAATCATCATTTGGCCCAGGAACTTGACAAGGCTCCAGAAAGCATGAGATAGGGCCAGTGATACCGCCACCACCCTCAATTTCACTTGATACTGTAAATTACAGGAAGACAAACCCCGTGCCTCAGGAGAGGGGCGGCGGGGAGCCAGCCTGCCTCCAGGGACAGCCGCTCCCGAACTCCTCCGGCTGCCGGCAGCAGGCGCAGCATCACAGCAGGAACATCATTCCTTGCCTGTATCGTTATTGATCACTAATCAGTTAATCGAAACAAGGAATCAAAGCAGTCCAAAGAAAAAAAAGCAGGCTTCACTTAAAAAAAATAATTGTGATAGATGTTTTGGGCTCTAGCATTAACTGCTCAAAGAAATATCAAAGAAGATATGTGGCATTGCTGCAAACTGCTCTAAAATAAAGTGGGGGAAAATTGATTAGTGTGCCACTGTCGTGATTGTGCTGGATGACTTTAATGTGTCCTTTCCATTCCTAGCTTTCCTAGACACAGATTCTTCAAATGGCTTTTACAAATACTTCTTTCAGAAAGTCACACACCGATAGATGAAATTCAAATAATCCTAATCTCAGCCTAATGAGCGACACACTGCACAGAGGAAATGAAGCTGTGGAAAGGAGAATAAATGCTCAGGAGAAAAGAAAAAAGCCTGTGTAGGAGAGCACTCTTGAGGTAGTTGCCTTACATCTTAATTTGCACATCAGCCCAACCGAGGAAAAAGCAGCGTGGTTCATGAGACAGGGTGCCAGCGGGAGGCATAGGGACCAGACCCGACTTCTCTTCCGATTCCTGCCACTGCCAGACATAATGTCAGCAAACTGCAGCGTTAATCTGCTCCCCTCCTTTCCACCCCATCTTTCATGCTCTGTATTTATAGTAAAGATTTTTCAGGACAGAGACTCTTTCTAACCAAGCCCGTGGATGGAGCCCAGAGCCAGAGCCCTTGGCTGTTTCGGTAACACCAATCATTCGTCACACCAAAACCTCCTTCCCTCTCACCCTTCCTTCTGCCTTATCTTGACTCGCTTGGGAAAATATTCCGGCGTGCAGTGCGGGTAACACCCAGGCTAGAACTCAAGTATTTGAAACTGTACCAAAACTAACTTCCAATTAGTGAGATCTGGTACCTCTGGAAGCCTAGCCCGGGGCTACTTCACCCTCTGCACGCCTCTGCAGCAACTGGATTGCAGCGGGAGCCCTCCCACCTCGCACACATACAGCTACTTCAGGCTACCGGCTGCAGTGCAGCCCTGCCTTTGAACAAAGCTCCAATTAAAGTGCCCCATGAAGCCTCCCTGAGCTTTTGCACCTTTGCTAGCTGACTTCCAATAGCAACTCTAAATGCAAGGATTGGCAGCCCATTTCTGGTGTAGTAGTATCTCCGTACTCCTCTCTTTCTGCACAGGTTTGCTCCTCTCCCTCGCCTTCACTTTTCCTTCCTTTTGCCTCATCTCAGTTTCAGACAGGGCTTACACCTCTAAGCTCAGCTCAGAATTTTCCCCTCTCCTCTCTGTCTTCTCTAAGCCAATTTTCTTCTAGATTTCTTCTCATTTTTAGGTCTTTTTCCAAATACTCCATATATTTGCCTCCTGCTCAAATATTTTTCCTCTTCTCACACTCATATAAAATTTTGCTTTTTGAAGCAGACAGTACATTTAAATGGTTTCTACTCTATTCAGATCTACCTCAAGTTCATTAACTTAATGAGATGAAAAATGATGGAACAGAGAAGGCTATTAGACTTCAAATAATTGGCTTTTTAAATTTATTGCTCTCGTGGACAAGCATGAACTGAGGCTCCATTGTGCAAAATGCAGCAGAAGCATAGCAACATAAAAAGGTGCTTTCTTCTTCCAAGAGACAGTGTAATGGCCTGACTGGAAGTGGAAGACTTCCTCTCCAAAGGGAATTTGAAATGACAGATGAGGAGGGCATAAGCCATAAAGCACTTCGGAAGTGAAGACCAAGAGGCTTGTGTGCAACGCAAATGACACGGGAGAACTTTGAGTCCGTGCTCTGCAGCAGATTTCCTGTGCTATCTTGGTCACATCTCTCAGCTTTCCTGTGGCACAGCTCTCCAATGGAGACTCTATCTCCCTATCTGGTATGGGGGCTACAAGAATAAATCCTCATTAGCTGTGAGGTTTGCAGGCACCACAATGTCACAAACCATATAAGAGCTGGATGTGAAATTTGAAATTGTACTTAGAATATTTTTTGCAAATAAGTAACAGAATAGGCTATAATACTGCCTATTACAATCACTTGTATTAATCTATTTTTAAAATGTCCCTATTTCCCTATATCGTTAGAACCATAAAGTGTATTGTGGTAATTTTGGTTTTACAAAAAAACCCTAAAATAAACCAAACTAACCAAACCAACTGGATTTATGATTCCTAGTATTTTTGCAGCAGTATCCAAGGCTGCAGCGCAGACACGACATTTCAGACACCAGCCACCTCTTCTGAGAGTTGTCACCTGCTGATTTAGCAGTTACCACCTTCACCAACTGCAACAGCACAGCATTCAGTGCCTACTCCCCCTGCGTTAGGGGAGATGAGAGGCAAATAAGCCGTGTAGTTAAGAAAGGGCATTCGGGAATTAATCAGACACTCCATGACCAAGCGTGGAGTTTAATGAGAACACAAATCCGTGGCACTCAAAACCTTTATGCTCTGGAGCCTCATTCATGTAAAGAAAGTGCCACTGGTGGATCCCGTATTTCCCACACGTACCCTCAGACCTCTTCCTCTTTGGAAATCCCCACCAAGAGCTGAGCCCTCCCCTGCCCTAGCTCCCATCCTCCTTCAGTAACAGGCCTGGCCTTGCTCATCTCTCCTCTGAGCACAGCCCTGCTCTCTCCTTGTCCCACCAGCCCCACAGCTGCAGGTGAAGGTGGACACAGCCATGGCACAGAAGCCCCCCTGACTTAGGGCACACGTGAGTGCTAGGAGGGAGAAGAGCTTGGGGAAGGAGTGGGTGGTGAGTGCTAGGAGGGAGAAGGGCTTGGGGAAGGAGTGGGTGTGTGTGGGGGCGGTATGGTGTCAGGCTGAGGAGGGATCCTCTTGGAACCAACCTGCCCCTGCCCCAAGCATTGCCCCTGGCAGCAGCACCTACTCCAGGCACCTCTGATGGACCCAGCAACCAGCCAGGGTCTGTATATTTATTGGAATTAGGGAGAAAAAAAAAAATCCTTTATAGCTGTTCACTAGTAAACATTTTTCAGTTGTATTTGCAACCCAAAATCTGCACAGTTCTGGCTATGTATGAGAGGCTGATGGCAAAATAGTCTACAGACAGAAAAGCCTGAAAGTCCCTAAATCCTCCCCACATTTCACAAGCAGCACTAACAGCAAAATGAAATGCTTATCTGCAGCATTTCCTCAAATTTAAGGTTTTCTTCATATTTTATCTGTACGTTGGAAAAAAGATTAATTATTTTCAACCATCATGTGCTTATTGCAATGGGATTAGGCAGCTATTGAAATGTTACCACCTGCTGGGAATTTCAGAACCTCCCATATAATCTCTCCACTTTGACAGTAAAGAAAGAATACCTCAACTATGCATCACATTTTATCAAAATCTAATCACTGCTGACCAGCCAGAGTGGTCAGGGCCAAAAATATGCCACTTCTCGGAAGATATTGAGTTTAGCCAGGAAAGTGTCTATGTGATGTCTGCCACAGCAGGAGGCTGGAGCTGACATCCTCAAAGGCATCTTTCAGGCTTATTTACACATCCAACAATTTTACACTGTTATCAGATAATGACTTTATTAAAATTATTCATCTAAATTCACTAGGCTGAAACTGACAACACCAGATCCTGCATGTGCAAGAAATAAACAATAATTAGCTGGTAAAGCGTATTTTCATTAATACTTGGGATCAAATCTCACAAAATTCTGGTATTTCTCAGCTCCTTTTGATATTGACATAGCAATTCAAGAGCAAGCTGGCCAGCAACATCTGTCCTTTGAAACCGAAGGGCTTACAATAGACATAGCATAGGGATGATATTTACTGTGGAAAATGTACAGTGAAAATAAGTTTATTAAGCATAAAGAAATTTGGGAAGGTGTTCGAGCAATAATAAGTAAAGAATGCAAAGAATTAAATACATTAGATGAGAGCTTATAGTATAAAGGAAAGAATACAGTCATCCATTCTTTCCTTCCTCCTTCAGAGTTTCTTTAAAATATATATATACTGCCCACTGTTCCTCGAATTCCTCTTTTGGTGGAGTTTATAATGAAGCTCATCATACGGAGAGCATAGATGGCACAGCTATATATGTACTTCTGATACAATCAGAAGTTTAATACAGAAGCAGGTCCATAATACCATGAAGTATCAGCATTAAAAAGAGAATTGGGAAGCTGTCTCCTACACTTGACACTGGGCTTGCCGTGTACTCACACGGTTTTGACCGCTCTAGTGACTGATATAAAGTAGAAATCACCAAACATGTTTAAAACCACTAAAATTATTCCTACCTGTTAGGGACTAGGGTGAAGAACCCGGGCAGTCGCTCCCGGTGCCGATGCTCCCGGCACTTCGAGAGCGCTGGAGCACCGTGGCTCCGGGCGGGACGGCCGCTGCCTCCGGGGCACAGGCGACCACAGAGAATACCCGGGCAGGGGCAAACCCGGGACCTGCCGGCACACGGGTGTTTTACAACACCTCCAGGACCGCGCGTCACGGCGATCACGGCGCGATCCCGCCGCACCGCTCGATCCGACCGACGGCTCTCCCCGCCCGTGACCGCCGGCTCCGCGCCGACGGCCGCCCCCCGGCCGGCTCCGAGCCCGGGGCAGCCCGGACTCCTCACCGCCCCATCCCTCGGCACCCAGCGACCCGCCCGCGCCCCGGGACCCCCCGGCCCGGCTCCTCCTCTGCCCGCCCCGCGCTCACCTCCACGCGGCGGGCGGAGCGGCCGGCGAGTCGGGGATAGAGCGCGGTCGTTCCCGTGGAGGAGACGCCGCCGGCGCTTCCCGGGGCGGCGGGCGGGCGCTCACTGCCCGGCGGCGGCGGCGGCGGCAGGAGGGTTAAATGGCGGCTGCGGGCGGCTGTCAGCGGGCGCGGGGCGGCGGCGGGCGCCGAGCGAGGGCAGCCCGCGCCCCTGGCGGCGAGGCGCTCCCGGCCCAGCCCGGCCCAGCCCCGCGGCGGCCGCGCCGCCCTCACACGCCCGCCCGCCGGGCCGCGGCGGGAGAGGAGAGGCGTGAGGGGCGCGCCCGAGCCGTGTGCACCCCCGGGCCGGTGAGGGCCCTGTGGCAGCTCCGCAGCTCCCCTCACGGTGCGTGCGGTGTGTATGGCAGCCGTACGGGGAGCGGCTGAGGTCATTGGTCAGCCTGGAGGAGAATGAGGGGAGACCTCATCGCAGTCTGCAGCTTCCTCACGATGAGATGCAGCGGAGCAGACACTGATCTCTGTGGTTAGCGGTGATAGGACCCGTGGGAGTGGCCGGAGGTTGTGTCAGGGGAGGTTTAGGTAGGATGTCAGGAAACCTTCGTCCAGAGGGTGGTTGGACACTGGAACAGCTTCCCAGGGAAATGGTCACAGCACCAGCCCGAGAGAGTTCAAGAAGCGTTCGGACAACGCTCTCAGGCTCATGGTGCGACCCTTGGGGGTGTCCTGTGCAGGGCCAGGAGTTGGACTCTATGATCCTCGTAGGTCTCTTCCAATTCAGCATACTCCGTGAAAATCACTCCCCTCCCGCTGGGCGTTGGTAAGGGTAACCTGCCCAGGCACGGGCTGGCACGTCGGAGCCAGGCTGGTTGATGACTTGTGAGGAGAGCGGCGGGCAGGCAGGAGGCCGCTCTCCAGAGTCAGCGGGCCAGCTTGCAGCGGTGGAGACCGAGCGTCAAAGAAAGAGCAGCACCAGCTCCTTGATGTGCCCGTCTGCAGCTGAGGGTCATATAAATGTGGGTATTTGTCACGTCCAGTGTTCATGGACAATATTCAGGGACTGTTATTACATGATGAAACTATCCTCCTGCAGAGATTTCTTTAAGAAAAGCCCTTTCCATCTGTTTTTAAGCAACAGACTATTTTATCTCCGACTGTTGTTAAATTTATTTGCATGACATGAAGTCTGTGATTTAAATATAGACCAATGGATACCTACATGCCCACAAAGGTAGGGAAGGATTTTAAGGAGCATTTACATCAGACAGTGTGACATAAAATGAATTTTCCTGCTTATCCTTATTCATTTATGATAAGTGTGGGCATGACATAAAGGCCCAAGAGGAAAGAATCCTCAGCTTTTGTTGTTCAGAATTAAAAACAGACTAGAAGATCTCTCGTAGTTAACTTGTATAATGTATATGACTCAGAAAATACAATTTCCAGGCAATGTGGGTATCTCTGCCCCAAGCGTTGAGACCAAACAGCTGCTTAGGGTTGTTGCCCACTGCTGTCACTGAACTCTGATCAACCTCCTGCTAAAGCCCTTTTCTGTATGCTAGCTGGGGTCTGCAGTGGTTAATGCTTCACAGGCACAATGCCATCTGGAGTACTGACAAAGCCTTTGGGAGAACAAGATAAACCCTTGCTGAAGAGCTCAGACTGTATTCTGGACAGCAAAAAGGGAACTATATGGGTGTCATAATGATTTTCTGGGCTGCTTTTAAACATTTTATTTTGAACAATTCAAATTCTAAATATTCTCTTAGTTTTAATGGAAGTGTGTACAACTGGGGGTTTTTAACTTGTCTGTCTTTTATTGTAGGTAAGATTTTGTTCGATGTTTTGGAGGATACAGACCTGTGTATTCAGTCTAAAAAGTGAAGGATGCTGCATTTTTTCACCAGACACTTGCAGCTACATGACCTGAGACATGTCTTGTGGTGAGATTGGGAAACACTTCCTTTGAATGCTGAGGAGCTTCCTGTGTCCATGTCTGGTCCTGGTCTATGTGACTCTGGAAGCAAGAATTCAGCTTCAGGCAGTGCCACTGTAGAAGTGCTAAGTGCAGAGGTGCGCAGTCTTGCCAGGAGCATCTTTCCCATTGGTCATGGAAGGTACCAGCTGGCACAAGTGAATGCACTGTGGCACTAGGTCTGGTTTGAATGAAACAGGAAATAAATCACACATGGTAATAAAGCAAACAATATTGTAAGTAGATTCCAGATGATGGAGAAGCTCAGAGAAGAAAAAGAGTGAGGTGAATGAAATGTCTGCTCTGAAATGGCTGCTCAAGTCCAAGACTGAAACTCCAGTCTCACTTGCTGCCTGTATTTAACATCTGAAAAATCTTATATTGGTGAATCTATTGCCAGGCTTTTTTCCACTATGAGCACAATCTTTTGAAGATTTAATCACTAGTAAAAAAATCTCTTTCCTCTGTTGTAATGCAGAGGAGAAAGTAAAGAAATCCATGCAGCAGGAAAGAGTCTGGAACACATGGCAAGATGTTTTACTTGTATCGCAGTATTTTTCACTTATTATAGTGCCTTTGATCCAATGGCCTTGCAGTATTTTATGAGTTACGAGTGATCTTTGATCTTTTGTTTCCCTATGCTGATGAAAAAGGCTTTGCTTTATTTTTTTTTTTTCTGCCAGAGTAAACTGATTCACTGAGATTATGCTCAAACTGTAAAGTCAGAAACAAAGCCAGCTCAGGTCACTGCACTCCCACTCAGTGCCTTCTTTCAGACCTGTATCACCTTTGTGCCAACCCTTCCAAAAGGGGACAGAGTCCAAAAAATGGTGATTAGAAATCACAAGTTGCCACTGTGATTGTATGGTAGAAATTGTAAAGACCCCGATAACAGGAGGATGAACACAGGATAAATAGACAGGCTACTTTATTAAACCCTTTGAAGCACAGTGGATTATGTTTGCACATAATACACCTGCTGTGGTGCTGAGGACTAAGATCTGTCTTTGTTAACATGCCATCCAAATTTCATCAGGAACATATTTTTCATTAAAATGCTTCAACGAAGCTGGTCTCTGAGGCATCTGGCTAGCGGTGGATAAAATCCTTGCCATTAAAGTTGGTCTCCCTGGAGAGCGAGAAGCTAACAACAGAAGGGACGGGAGAACAAGGGAGCTGACGAGTACCCATTTAGCCCACAGCCAAAACGTTGAGATCTAAATTAAGTTAGACACTGAAGGATACAAAGAGAGAGTAACCTTTAATTGCTGATCTCTAGCACCAGCTGCCGGCGTGATAAGCAAGCGGGGAGTGCAGACAGATCCCACCTGCGCACAGATCCCAGGTAGCTGCTGGGCTGAGGCAGCCCGTGTGGCTGAAACGCTGAAGGCAGCCATGGAAGAAAGGTCAGACAGGAAAGTCTTCATGGCCTGTAAAATTGGGATTATGTGTTTTCCAGCTGTTGGCAGCTGTGCAGAAATCACTTGCACGTGTGATGATGGGTGGTGCCAGAGGCTGTGGGCAGCTGCCTCTGCTTAGTAAGGCCAGAGCAGCCACCTTGACTGCAGCCAGGAGCTGAAACCGGTCTGCTTGACTTTATCCAAACCAGATTGAGGGTACTTACATGAAGGGCACAATCACCAGATTGGCTGTGTTGGTGGTTTTCAGTGGGCATAAGGTGGTGTGTTGGTTTCTGGCTGTATCCCCACTGCCGGCACAGTTGGGCTGGGAAGAAAATGTCTTTTTTTTAAGCTGGCGTAAAAACAAGATCATTTTAGTAGCACATATTGTCCAGAGACCACCAGGTGTGAAAGCAGAATTGCTGGCTACTAAATTCCCTCTCTGCTCTGTGTAGTGGGGAGAGATGTGACATTGTATGTGATTTCTATCTGTGCAAAATATGCTAAAAGCCTTCACTTGCTGGTATTAAATTGACCTCAAGCTTCCTAGCGGGAGTAGTAATAATAAGCAGGCAAGCCAGAGAAATCTGTTTGCCCTCATCCACACTGGCAAAGGAGATTTAATTGTGAAACCCCCAAAGCAGTGCTGGCTGGGATACAAGAGAGTCATCTGTTACAGAGAATCAAGGTAAAGGCCAAAATGGTAATATAAATATTTGGTGGTTTCGGGGGAAAATTCAAAAAGCTGGAAAGAGTGAAAAACTGAAACATGGCCTTTTGGAAACACTATCTCTGCATTGTTCAAGAATCTTTTTCAAAAAAAAAAAAAAAAAAAAAAAAGAGAGAAAGGTTGCACTGCAGTCTTGGTTGGAGAACTGACAAGAATATGAATAATTTAATTATGAAAGGCTTAATTTAATTTAAATTTAATAAAATATTATTTTAATAAAATAAGCACATAAATTAATAAAAATAAGCAGGAAAAACTGCTAAAATTGTCAGAAATAGTTCAAAATCAGAAGCATAAAACTAGTAAAGAATGTAAAAGAGATGAGATCTGTAATCAGCAATGCTGAGTGGCAAAGATGTCTCATTTTAATATAAATTTGAAACAAAAGGGTGGTTGTTATTCTACTGGTATATGAAAAATTTTACTTATCAAGTGGATTGCAAAGGAAACACTGATGTTCAATAAATATTTCTGTTCTGGGGTAGAAAACAGACAAGAAAGCCATGTTCCAGATTGGTATTAAAATACTTCCTGTACCAATGCAAGCCTGAGAATGTAAAATAAGAGCAGCTCCAGTTAAAGAACTTAAAATTAGCAGCTCTGGATAAACTTCCATCCATCAGTTTTTAATATTATTTCCCCAAAAAGTTGGTCTGGAGATGCTGTGAAGATTTCAGACCACTGGATGAATTACCAGGCATGGGTTTTCATGGATTTGGCAGGTTTGTAAAGAGAGAACAGCCCTGATTCTAGAAATAGAGATGGAAAAGCTGATAATAAAAGGGAGAGTACCATTACCAATATGACTTGACTGAAGTTGGTGGAAAATGTATTTTAGATAAATTTACAAGTTTGGCTAGTAAAGGAAGTAATGGTATAATGTAATAATACTTAACGTTTCCATAGAATATTTGGATTGGGGTAAGACCTAATATTTCCATGAAGGATGCTTGTGCAGAATTAGCACATTATGCTTTAAAAGGATTAGGTGTTGATGAATTGATTTCAAAATGTCCTTATAATGTGAAATTTTCATGGAGGATGTATTAACCTAAAGGTTTAAAAACAGGCTTTTTAGGCTTTAGCAATTTAAAACTTTTTTCAGAGACCTAAAAGATGTAACATCATCACTGCTCAAGTTTTCAGATAACAAACAGACTGGGAGAATGTTCAGTGATAATGACTTGTCTTCAGAATTGACCAATTTCTGAGTAATACAATACCAACACTACCTGTTTTAATATAGCTCCTGTAAAATGACACATCTGGGAACAAAGACTGTAGAACTTTGTAGGATGCGTGGCTCCCTCCCGGGGAGTCATTACAAAGATCTAGAGATCAGACTGAGTTGTTAGCTAATCTTGAGCTCCCACTGTCACATCCTTGAATTTGTGCTGCTGCCCACAGGTTTGGAGCAGAGAAAGGTGTCACCTTACTTTGACAAGTCTGAGCTATGTGTATGGGAAGTGAACTGAGCACAAGCACAGGTTTGAGCCTGTGTTTCACAGTGCAGGAATGCCCTCTGTGGGCATGGCTGGGGGGTATAAAAACCGGGCCAACAAATTACCTCTACAGTTAACACTTTTACTGTAGCCTTCCTTGGCCTAGTGCTGGTGTTCACAATTTATATGAACAATTTAGGGGGCATATTAGGTAACTATGGAAAGCCTTTGGAAGAGCAGAAAAAAGAACAAGGTGGGCAAAAATACTCCAAATGATCAACGTTTAGGAAACTGTTATGTTCCAGGAGACTGGGCATGACAGGAACTCATGCTTCATAAAGCACTTATTGAATATTAGGTCTAGTGGCTAGAAGACAAAGCTAAACACATTCTGATTGTGTACACCAATTTTTTCCAACAGGTCACTGGAATAATTGGCCAAGGGCTGCAGTGGGATTTCCCCGAAAATGCAGTCTCTAGTTGTTCCTAAAGAGGAATTCTGCCTCAAACACAAATTAAATAAGGGAAGTCCTACAGTTTCTGTTACCCAAGAGGTCAAGCTAGATGATCGTTCTCTTCTGGCCTTGCAACTTATAAATAGATTAGAGTCCTGGTGGAAAAAAAAGGACTTTCCCAAAACACTGTGGATAAAACAGCAATGCAGAAAGACCAGAAACAGTCACTTTCCAACAGTTGTGCCTAGTTTGATGTTTCTAAACTAGGAAAAGACCAAAACATTTTGACTTTCACTCCAGAATGTGTTTTAAGCTCTTCCTTCTCTCTGCCAGAGCTCAGCCATATCCAATACACCCATTTCCAGACCTGCTAACTAGTCAACATTTGATAATCACAACAAAGCCTGTGTTTGAAGTCAGTGGGAGTTTTGCCATTCTTATCTAATGGGTGGATCAAACCAGATCTTTGCAGTTTAGGGACACACCTCAAATTCCCTGTCCAAGGCTAAGTGAAACTCGGGAGAATTATGCCACACACACGCAGCTGCTGAGCCTGGCTGAAACAACAGATGTTTCCCATATACCATGTCCAACACTCTTACATTTAGGCAACATTTAGAAAGAAATCTACCTACATGATGTGAGTCACTAAACAGCCACAGTAAAAATGCCACACCAGCAACTCAAAAGTATTCCGTGCAACTGTGCTGGCTTTTTTTGTTCTTGTAAAAAGACAGTGCATCACACGGAATGTATCCTCCTGCAATTATTTTTTTATTTTTTATTTTTTTTAAAAGGAAATAACTTCTGTCTTTGAGTTTCTGGAAGTGTTCTGCATATATGAAGCAAGTGACACAGGAACATTGATTTGACCTTTCGCTTGAAAAATACAGTGAAACAGCATTTAGATTAGATCCCCCACCTTTGCAACTTCTTGAGATAACACTGATGATAATAGAAGTACATAAAACACTTGGAACTGTATTCCAGTGCAAAAAGTCTAGTCTGAGCCTTGTGGTCAGAGCAGGACTAGATTCACACTGACTATTCCACCAGTACCAGCCCCTTTGACCTTGAACTTGCTGTCCATTTCTGCTGTGAACATGGAAGAGCAGGGTTTAATGCGCCCTTTCATCAGTAGAAAACTTGAAGTCACAGCATTCAGAGTCTGGTGGGAAAGTGGGAGACCCCAGATCCTACCTGGTCTTTGGTGTGTAGCAGGGATATGAAGCAGTGTGGTTTCTGTCAGGCCTGCCTCTCCATGAGCATGTGCTAACTAGCAGGCTGTGGGGTTTTCTGAAACTTAAGATGTCTCAGTCACTCCTGGAATTTTTGTTTTGATGTGTGTTTTTGGTGGTGGGTTTTTTTTTTGGTTACCTTTTTTTGGTTTTTTTTTTTTTTGGGAGTAATACCTTAACTCTAACCCACAAAGAAAAATTACTCTCAAGCTTGCTGGACAGGACAGCTACCTGGGAGGTGTCTGGGAGGACAGATACTTGGACTTCTGCTCCAATAAAAGTATTTTAATAGATACTTAAAATACAGACAAATGTTGCCAAGAGACATGTCTAGAATATTCTCTCAGCATGAATACTTATAGGTTATTCTTCAGAGAACAAAATGATAGTTGAAGTGTTCCCAGAAGGTGACTTGGAACCATAGGGTCTTGCATTTTACAGGAATGCCTGAAGGGCTAAGAGTTAGGATGAAATGGGAACTGCTAGAATAGTAGAAGGAATGTAATGGTCATATTTATCAATCCAACTCAACAGAAAATATATTGGTGAGGGAGCTCCTCCCAGAGAAAATGATGGTTCCTTATCAAATCCACAAACAATTTTGAACTGCCTTTTCAGTATGTATTTTCAAAGAACTGTCCAGCTGCAGATGAGTGCTTCCCAGGAACTCATCTGCTCTTCAGGAAGCAGCAACTTCTGCTGTTGGCAACAGGCTCCTACTGTCTCCCACTACTGTACTCATGAATTCAGAGGCAATACTTGCCCTAATTTTAGAAGCACAGTCAGGCTCTTTGGACAAACCATAAAAGTCCTGGTTATAAGAACTGAGCATCAAAGAGTTTAGTTAATCAATATGCACCCACTAATGATTATGAAAGATAAATTTCTGAGGACTCCCAAATGCACATCCACATGTAGTTTTCAGAAGAAAAAAAATTTGCAATTCAGAAATATGGTCTAGATTAGATCCATGTTTCCATAGGCTGAATCTAATTTTCCTGAAAACAAAGGCAAAGGAAACAGAAAAAATGTACAAATTCCTGAGGAGTGTTTTCCTGTCTGAGGTATAAAAAAGCCCATGTTTCCAAATGAAAAACATAATCATCATTTAAGACTGCTCCATAAAAAGACAAGCACTATTTATATAGGCAGCCCTGGCAAAATGAGGTTATGATCATGTATCGTGACACAAATATCCTAGGAATAATAAAAACAGGAAAGGTTCATATATGCACCTTCCATACTAAACTAGTATGATCACATGAGAACAGTGCTTGTGTAGGCACCTATTATTTGACTGTCCTGGCTGGCATGGGTCACAGGTTACTCAGCAACAGAAGCAATGCCTTCTAATTACATTTAATTCTGCCCTTTAAATAAAAACTATATTGTAAACTTTTAGGTACAGAGTGAGACAGCGAAAATATGATATGCTTAAAAAACCTGCCCCATGGAACCACAAGATTTTAATGTGCAAAGATTTTAAAGCATTTAAAACATTTAGAAGGAAAAAAAAACCTCAACAGAACAATCTATTTAAGAAAATTTTTTAATCTTTCTTACTTTCTAGTAGCCATTTTCTCTTTTGTCTGTTTAAATTCTAAACCAGCAATACAATTTACCCTGTAGACTTCTTGCCTGGAAGAAAAACAAAGTCAAGGAAAAATCTTGGAAAAGAAAAGCTTGAGAAGGTACCATCATTCTAAATAGGCTGTATTATTATTGCTTAATTAAGATAATTAAACACTCTGGGTTGGAGGAACAGAGGCTGGCAGTTTACACTTGGCATTTCCTCTCAGATTTTGTTCTTCCTGCACACGACGTGCCCCCTTGTGGGGAGAGGTTCAGGCCCACAAACCACTGGCCTTCATGACAGGTTTTTATTAGGCAAAAGAGACAGTTGTCACAAAACAGGTTTTTGTTTCCAAATTTCTCACTTTTCAGTACCTCCTTAGATGTGTGGGGCTTGGTGTACTCTGCATGGATCTCTCCTGTGGGTTGTGGGGAGAATGAAGGAAAGCAGCAAGCTGTAAGGCTCCTGAGGAGATGACACCAGGTGACTAACACAGTAATAAGAGTGTGGAACTGGTTCCTTCAGCCGTGTCAAAGATGTAAGCTTTAGCACCCTCATGGAGCAGAGGAAAACTGCCTTAAAGAAAGCATGGCATGAAAGTTAGCTTGTGATAAGAGGACACAATTCCCTGGATATAAAGGATATCCTACAAGCCACAGGCATGATTGCTGTAGCAATCTCTGCACTGAATTATTGGCAGGCTCTTAACTCATACTATGGTAACACTGAAATAGTTCTGAAAATATCTTCAGGCTCATCTTAAAAGCCTTTTTGTCCTCTCCTGTAAAATTGATCTGGCCATCACAACCACAATGCAGTTACCTGTATGCTGTCCTTGCCCATACCTTGAATTTATTTACTAAAAATAGTCACTTCAAAATGCCAAAAATTCAGGTAATGTGGATCATAAACATCCACTTAACACGTTATTTTCATGACAGATCTTCAAGTAGTGTAGCAACTCCACTGGAGTTATGAAAACCGAGGCTATTATATTGCATTCAGTGTGAACACAGGGTGAGGAATACCAATGATACCTTGTGATTATTGAACACAGGGTGATAGTCTTCTTTCTCCCTTCAATATAAAAAGCATATTAATTTTCATATATGAAAGGTAAGCAAATGAACTGTTTCCCCAAAACAGGTAGTAGGCTGATGAAACAAACAAATGATCTCTTGTTAGAAGAACAAGATAAAATACAAGCACATTAAAGCACAGAGTCTGGTAAAGTGACAGGAGGCTGCTCCACTCTGCTACAGAGAGGACAGAGAAAGGGTGTCGCCCTGAAAACTCAGCTTCTGGTTTGTTTTTTTTTAGAAAAAAAAGGGCACCCAAAGTGCAACATAAATGGACAGGAAGGAAGATGGCAAGGAAAGAGAAGGGAGGAAGCATGTGCTAACAATGCTTCTATCTGAGATATTAGCATAAGATATGACAAAATAAACATGGTAATTTCTAGATTTGCATGACATACTATAATCTCTCTTGCAGCAGGTTCTTTCTGTCTCGAATTCCAGTACCCCAAGATCCTCCCCTAGAAAACTATTCATCACTTCTGAGAGAAAGGGTTATTCTACACTAGTTTGTTCCTTATACCTCAGTACACCCCAAAGTCCTGCTTCTTATCACCGTGGATACATCTGTCTGCTTTGTTGCTCCAGACATAAACAAACTGGAATTGGAGTATGTAGTAACCTGGGCGCTGACCCTCAGCACTCTACGATGATATTCTCTTCACTGGTGTGGTATCTTCTCTTGAAATGAGAAACTACACAGAACATCAAATAAAACTTGAAAAATGAGTGAGTTGTCTTGAGACAGTAGACATGCTTCTGACTTTGTGATTTCTATTTCCTTTCAGTTCCAAGTAAGAGGATTCAGCACTTGAAATACCTGAGAACTGTAAGAGCATTGCAATGTTCATGTCTGTTGCAGTTGACTAGCGAAATAAAATTTTTAAAGTCAGTTCTTGGAAAGATTCTGCCCTCTGCTCTCTTGTTCAACTATTACATAACCAATTGTACACAAATGGTATTAGCTTTGTGTCAGAAATAAATTTGGGTAGAATCTCAAGCCTTCCACTGAATCATCTCTGCAAAGATGGCCCATCTTTTCAGCAAGAAGGAGCCTAGAGAAAGCAAAAGAAGATGTCCTGTATTACTTGAGGACAACATGATAACCAAAGTATTAAACACAACAATTATTACAACAATTATTATTATTTACCTTTCTTTGGCTAAGAGAACAGACATCCCCACCAGCTTAGCAAACTCATCAGCTGTGAGAGAACCCTTTTCAGATACCTATCAAAAACCAAATACACAAATAAACAAATTATGGCATTAAAAGAACAATGAAGTTTTCTCATCTACTGAATCAGATCTAGCCTTGAGAAGTGATAAATTGCTAGCAAATTCCTTGAGAAGAAAATTAGTCTGTTTGCATTTTTAAAAAGTACAACTAATTATGACTATTTCCCCTTAAAAACATCTCTTCTGTGTACTGGGAAAACTGCAAAGTATAAAAAAGGAAAAGAGGAAAGAGTTAAATCTGTAAAGAAATCATATGGTACCCTTTGGATTTTTTTTAAAAGATGCCTTGCGACCAAAGGAACTGAAAAATTAGAATAGCTCGGACAGCAGAACACAGTCTCCATCAGTATTTACACAGCAGAACTATTTCAAGTGACTCTGCAAACACTGAAGCCTAAGTGAGGAAATAAAAGACCTGTTCAGGGCAACTTATCAATGTAGAAATGTAAGTCATCTCAGGTGAAGGAGAAGAATTTGAGTTTTATGGCATTTAAAATACACCCACTGCCTACAGGAAAATCCCCAAACCTTAGTACTTCACATGCCATTATGGCATACTAGAGGAATAACTAAAAGCCACCATCACATTCAGCTGACACAAAAGACAAGTTCACTCTTGGGACTCAAAACTTTGGCCCTTTTGTCTCAACCATGCTACTTAATAAAATGAAACCTTCTCACACACGTTGGACATGTGGATGTTTAAAATACTAGAAAAATACTACATATTAAGTCTAGACTTATGCATTGAATTTCCCAGATAAACATGTTTTATTCTCTAGAAGTTAATAATTCTTCCATTTCTCCATTGCTTTAGATTCAAGCAAAGTTGCAAATCCGGATGTAGTTGCCATTTCCTGCTTCCCACATAACTGGGTGGGGAGGGGTCTATTTTGCATCATTCTCAGCAGTAGTCCTTTTACAGAAACTCAGATTAAATTAGTCCTAACATGAGATTTTCAGAAGTTAAGAGATCAAATCTGAGTAGCAGACGTCAGCTATACAATCAGTGATTAATTATCTTTCCTTCCCAAACCACTATGCTCATCAAGGGTGACTCTGGATTCCTTTGATGTTCCTATCATTTCCTGTCTTCGCCACCCATTCAAAACCACATCTCCCTCCTGCCTGAAATCCTATGGCTTCCTTTGACTTCTCAGAACTAAATGTATAATGTGCAGTAACATTAAAGTATGGGGTGCTTTTGGCCACAGGTCTGATCTCATCTTCCCTTCCCCATACAACCTAGTCTTCCTCAGTTGAAGCCTCTTCCCTTCCACTCTTCTAAGGAGCCAAAGTCTCATATTATGAAAATAAAAGAAAAAAGGCACCTTTTTTCAATGGTAATAAATCCACCATCTGCTACTTTTTGCAGTTGACCTCCTCGGTTATCAAGAAATATTTTTCCTTTCTTTTCAAAGACATAAGCACTCTTACTGAAGACAAAAAATTCATTAGAAACCAAAAATAATCAGACAAAGCACTAAAATGGTCTTGGTATTTTTCTATAAATTTAAGAAAATAAACTGAAAATACTAACACATATTAAAAAACATAAGCATTTTAGATCATTGTTGATTTATAATGGAATCTTTTAAATGACTATAAACATTTCTCTTATCTAAAAATCTTTCTGATGAACAAAAGCTATATGGTGACAACCATGCAAAATGCACTGAGCAGTCTACCTTGTGTCAAGTGAGGAGGTGCCTCTACTTTTTCTCAACTGTCCCCTCTTTGACTTTGATGTCTAACTTTGGATACACTGGATCAGCCTTTTCTCAAATGTATGAAAATCAAAAAATTACATTCCATTCAGAAAAACAAGTAAAAATGTAGCAAATAATGGCATAACAGGACTGTAAAATGTCCAGAAGCAGCAAGACCACAAAGGCTTATGACACTGAATAATTCATGCTATCTTTTTCCCTGATGAAGCTGGCTTAATTCTACATACACTATTCTCCAACTGAATGCTCCTCACAGCAGCAAACTCGGTACAGTGTACTGTTCTATGAAATAAACCCAAACCAAACAACTGCCTATATCAACATTTAAGAGCTGTTTCCACTGCCTTCAAGCAGTACAGTGTCTGAAGTCCACTTCTGTTAAATTACATGCTCAATAAATGCCATGAATTTCAGCCTACAGTGCAAAAGATTTGGAGGAAGGCTGAAGGTTAATGAAGTTTGAAGAGATAGAAAAGTGATTTATTCCTTAAAGAGAAAGTAATGACTAAGATTATTGCCTGCACAGAACTTTGAAGATGAGAAGTGCTATTTAAATATTTCTCTTAGAAGATATGAAGTGGAATGCTTTGCATCCTGAAATCTCAAGAGGAAATCCCACACCTCAAGTTTTTTACCTAATGTGTTTAAATTTCCCTAGCTTGGTCAGAACACTGAAGGAAATGAAGTACACTTACTGTCTCTAAAGCAGCAGCTACCATTTCCTCTTCGTTATGAGACTGGAGTTCAATCACCATTACGCCACTATCAAATATCCGAAGCCTAAAATCAAAAAAAGAGAGGCAAAGTAACTAAGAACCTTGTGTGCATCACTTATGGTCACATCTCTAATGCATCCACATCTATAACCACATGACAAAAGGGGAAAAAAATCCCCCCAGACCCAAACAAGCTCCCTAAAATGAACTTAAGCTTAACAGCATATTCAAAATCTGAAAAGAAAAGAGCAGGGCATGTGTCTGGTCTTAAACCCTTTTCCAGTCTGAAAAATTTGTAAGTGAAAAAATAACATTTTCCTAGCTAAAAATAAATGTTTTAATGTAGAGTAGATGTTGGTGCAAATGGCAGCAGCTCTTGAGCAAAGAATGACTTTGTTAAAAATACCTACAACAACCACAAAAAAAAAATCTACTTTAAGTAAAATATTAAATCATTATGGTCTGACCTGTGAGTTCCATACTTTATAAATAAATTTGTAATGCTCTTACCTTAGTGGCAATTTCAGTGATTCCAGCATTTTACAAGCATTTACTAAATCTTCTGGTGACAGCAACTATTAAAATAGTAAAACATATTTATTCACAGCTTGCATTTCATGTGTATAATATAACATCAAAACAAAGTTTTAGTAGCTGCAGCTATAAAATACACAAGGCTACTCTTACTGTTAATTCTTTCTCCTTTCTATTGTGCAGCCTATTTTCTTGGCTTCTATGATCCTTTCTGTTCCCTTACTATGTATTCTATAATAATCCTTCTCGTCTTGTTTACAGAAAGAATTGCTGTATTTTGTTAAAAAAATTCCCAGAACATTCACCATTCTTTAGTGGTCTCTGACCTTTTTGTTTCCAGGTAAGAATGGATATTCTCTTTTACATGGTATCATATAAAGCAGCATATGTTACAAAAACTTGTAAAGGATACATAAGTATTATAAGGAAGAATGAGAAAGGTGAAAGGTAAAAACCCTCTAATTTTAATAAAGAGCTGATCACATCATGTTGCAAACAAGTAGAATGAGCAATTGGTAGGGAACATTTTTACCCTTTTTAATTTCGTTATGACTCAAGTCCTGTTATTACATACTGACCCAACGCAGTGTCTCACCTCTAGCCCTCGAGCACGATTCACCAGGCAGTACACTTCCGTAAGAGACATGATCCCCCCTCTCTCCTGTGTTAGTAAGGTAAGAGAAACAGCATTAACCCAGTAAAAACAGCATCTTGACTTGCAGGTGGCTGATTAAACAGGTGAAACAGAGAGGATAAATGATGGGCCCAAATGGGGAAAACTAAAGAGGTTAAGTTGTATCTTTCACACATCATCAAAATGCAAAATAGTGACACTACAGCCAAGGTCTGTGAATTACTTCCATTTTAAGGCAGAGAATAAATCACAGGAACAAAGAATTTCAATATATTAAATCTATCAATCAATTTACCATTTTTACTTTTCAGACAAACTCAATGTTCCATTCTGAACACAGTAGGTAGCACACACCTTTCACAAAAATACTGTAGTATGTATGCTTTTTAGTAGGAGCATAGCATTATAAATTGCAACATGAAATTTGATTTTTTTTGGTGAGAAACCTGTAATCTGTAATAGCTTAAGAAAAATTAAAACTTACTAAGAAATAAGAGATATTACTAAGGGGTGGTAATCTATTTAATAATTCTGTCCTATATTTTCAAAATATGTAAATTTTAAGCAGTATAAAAAGACTCATTACTTATATTTTCAGTCAGTGTCATTTCACTCTTTCTTTAAAAAAAGAAACATTCTGCAGCAAGGGATGAATACAGGGCTGTTCAGGTAGGAGAAAAAACACTTAAACAGTTTTCTAAATTTCATCAACATTTTGCAAATTGACTCCATTAGTCCAAAGAAAAATTTGTACTTACATTTAAACATTTTTTATTCAAAAAGATAATACATATTCTTCCCATAAATATTGAATAGGAGGCTGTGATGCTAAATCTGCTTTAAAAAGAGGCAGAGTACTACAGCCAAAAAACACATTGAAATTCAGTAACACATGCAAAATGCAGGTGCATGATGTGATGCTTTACCTCTAAGGGTGTCTGCAGGATTCCAGCCAGTTGCTTTGCCAGTTGCATGTGGTACTGTGTACCAGATCCATACGTTTCCCTCGTTACTGGATTAGCTATACCCATACTCAATAAATAGGACTTGAACCTAATGGTCTGAACAAGCAAACAAACAAATAAATTTAGAAGTACATCAACTAATGAGTGATTCTGGTTTGTAAAAATCTTTGATTTTATTACTATAACACAGTTTTGGTGAATAAATCTTTCAGTCTTCTCCCAGTAATGACAATTACCAGGCAAAGAGAAGGCAAGACTTAGCACCATTTATTTTTGACTAGCACAGGTAAAAAATAGAAAAATTTATATAAAAGCTGTAAAATAATTGCTTTTAAAAAGGGTTAAAAGAAAAATTAACAGTAAGCAAGTTAACACTTGCTTAAAAAATCAACACTAAGTAAACTCTACACCAAATACAAGACTAAACACAACAAAACCAACCAGCAAGGATTCTTACTAACATTACATTATTAAACAGATAACTTTTTGCTTTTCATAGGAACATTTCTGTAGAATTTAAAAACAAAATCAATTTACCTCATCCTCAGTGATGTCACCTTGTTTTTCTTTAATCTTGTTAGCTATTGACTTGGATAATTCCACCATTTCCTTAGCCTATCAAGAAGGACACACAAGACAGACAGGTAAGTCAACTTCCAGCTCAAGAGAGAAAAGAGTGCTTAAAAGTGAGAAAACAAGTGTAAGTCTGCTTGGCCAAGTGACACATGCCATCCATACATACCTTCTCCATTAGTTTGCTAAGGTCCTCAAAAGCCTGAAATTAAAAGTAGACAATGCAGATCAGTAAAATTACAGCATTCAGTTTTAGGGACACAGAGAGCTGCCTTTATTCACCTACCCAAGCTATTCATAAGAGCTGCTGCCCCTTTAGATGAGTAGGTTACAACATGAGATACCATACCTTATTTGTTGATACAAGTATTTTACAGCATGTCTTATAATTAAAATAAACAACAAAGAATGAGGAAGAGACTCAAACAATCACTACTTTTCCAGTATATGAACAGAATTTCAGTATGATTATGATGTCCATGTGATAGGAAGGGAAAATGAGATACTGAGTCCCAGAAAAGATTAAACTGTTCAAGTTTATTATGCTCTCTCTAAGGTGGGGGAAGCTTTCTAGGTGGTGATGATAAGTTTTATTCCAACAATTAACCCTCACTCAAGGAGATTTGTTGTTTCTGGCTAGCTGCAAGACAGCTGTAAAGCTACAGATGTACTCCTCCTGACAAGACAACTTTACTTTCATCACTGAATGTTACTTAGCAAGAAACACTCATTTCAAATGAGCAAGGAAGGGGATATCTGAAGGACAAAACCTCTGAAATGTGTGGCAATGTCTCTTCATTTAAGTATTCCAATAAAATGCTATGGTCTCAAATACAACAACTCTAAAACAACCCACAAAGGGTTTTTAGACTTAAATAAATCATACTTTAAAATCAGCTGAACGTATATTGTAATTCCAAACTTTTAGTAATGATAAACTAGCATTGAAAAATTAAAAAAAAAAAATAAGCAAAAAAAAAGCTAGCAACTCCATTAATGCAACTATATTAAAAAGCAAAACTCTATTTTCTCCCACCCTCATCAACACACATTCAGCCTCCTTACTTCTAAAATACATCACAACATGCCCAGATAGTCAATATTTTTCAAACAACCTTTTTTGAACAACTGGTGTGAGAGAAATTCCTGAACTTTTTCATCTAAAGTTTTCCTGACAGCAGCACCCAAGACCTCCAGCCACAAGTAAAGAAGATTCAGTTATGCTGTCAAATGGTCAGAGATATCTTGCCTACAGCTTCTAGTCACTGCCTTTGAGTCATTTCTGGGTTACTCTGACTAATCCCCCACCAGAAAGACGCACTTTAGCAGTGTTTTTGCAGGAAGACCCCATTGTTCCCATCTACATTTAGGTGCCTTATGTAGAAACTTATTGGTCAGAGATTCATTGTGCAAAGAACAAAAAGGAGATAGAAAGGGACAGGGTTTGCTTTTTCACCTTCTGAGAGTGCCAGTGTTACTGCACTGACTCGACAAGTTTAGTCTCTCCTAACAGTTGGTACCTGAGTTAGTGGTCCAAAATTAAATGATCCACAGGAGCACTTAAAAAAGGGAAAAAAATATACCACTGTATAACAATAACGTACCACTCAGAAAACAATGCTTCTCTTTGGAATACTTCTTCTTACTCCCTAATCTGCCAAATTGAATAATTCACAATAGATTTCCCAATCTCTAGTGTAAATCAAAGTCCTGCTATTCTACTTGTATATGATATCAACAAGAAGTTTTCTGACTGGGCTTTTCTCAGCTTATTTCTAATCTCTATACCTGCATGAAAACAACATTCATCAAAAGAACCCCCGATTTAGCTAAATAAACAGTATGCTGTGTCTAACTCCTCCTCTGCCTGACTCACCCAGGGCAGGCCTGGAAACAAAGGGGAATGTGCACACACCTAACAGGAACTTCCTCAGATAAACAAAAGGCTAAAGAACTGGATTCTTATCAGCACTGAACAGCAGATGCAGGAAGCCTTTTCCTGGAAGCCAGGGCACCATTTTTTAAATTAAGTCATTTATAACATTTAAAGCTGGAGGAAGGCAGGATTTTACAAGTCATGGTTTTCCTCTGCTCATACACAATGTATACATGGATTTCTTTTACTCTCTGACAAAGCTGCTAAAGGAAAAAATAAGCAGACAATGCCTTTTGAACTATGTACACATGCATGAAGCCACAATACCTTTTCAACTACACACAAAACTTCATTCATTATGTTCCTCATAGACAGAAAAAAAAAAAAAAAAAAGTTTAGTGCTCCCAATATCTGAAAGAGCACGTGGCCCGCAAAGGCACTTTAATTTTTGTAAGTATTAGAGCAGGGGATGCCTTTTTCTTGTGGCACACGGGATCCCATAAAGCTTTGCCAGAAGAACACATGTGCTGCACACAGTTTATAAGTACTTTTGTATCAATCTCTACTACCAGGACAGAATCAGACTATTTTTGAGGGTATTGCTGTAAGGTATATATGAAGAAATTAAATGCCTCTGCTGTCCCTTAGTATTGATATCTGGAATTCAACTATTGTGCTGGTTCTATGGAATAGGATGGTCTCCATCTAGCCCAGGTATTTTGCAAAATACTTGTAATATCTTGTCGATGCCTGGACTGCAAATCATTTTACTGTAATTATAAGTCTAAATGTAACATCTAAAAGCCTGACTATAAGAGGAAAATCTGGTTTCATCACAGTTATGTGCAGACACTTAAACTGGCATATTCTGCTTAATGGATATTCAATTTTCAAATGAAACCAAAATTAGTTTAATAAATACACACTTAGTTTCGAAGAACAATGTTCTTGAAAGGAATTGTTTAAATGAAGTACCTTTACATATATTGATAAACCAGTTGAACAAAATAAATAACTGTAAACTGTACACTCTTAATAATTTCAGACTTTTCAACAAAAACAATAAATAGTCTCAGCCGTCCCTAAAAGAAAGTGTGAATGAATGTAAATAGTTCAGACAGGTGGCTGACCGTGAAACTTCAAAAGTACCTACCTCGGAAATGTTTTTGTCAGTCTCTTTTCTTTTTTCTTCTAATTTCCTTTCAATACCTACAATTCCTACAGCCCTTATTCTTCCTGCCTGAAAAAAACAAAAACAACAAAAAAGAAACCAGGAAAGAGTCAAAATAGGAAATGCTAAATTTTCTCATTTGCCTCACCGTGAAAATTAGAGGACCAGAAATATTCCCCCAAACAGCAGATATCATTCATACACTATTTCATGCATTTCTTAACAGTAATTTTTAAACAACTGTAAAAAAACAATAAACAAGGCATGTAAACCGTGTATGAATTAGATGTATTAGACAAATAATGATACTGATAGAATACTGAAGCTATTAATATGCCTTAATATCCACATTGAGTATTCCAGCTCATCTCAGTTCTAGCTTCTCAAGCCCATGTGAACATCCATACTAGAGCTGTGGAAATGCCTGAGTATACTACTTCAAGAAATCCAGCCTGAAGAAACAGAAACATAGAAACACAGTGCTAAGTGAAGTCTAATTTACCTTCCTCAGAGGTATTAGGATGTGGGCGATGGTGAAACTTCCACCAGATGCCAAATGTGTTCTAGAAAGGCTGGTACCTAAGTGACAGCAGTGTCAGGCCTCTCATCTCTGACTGCAAAACTTAGCACTGGTGTTAATGAGTTGCTCTGACTTAAGTGAAGTAAGGTGCTTTGATTCAATTCTTCATGTATTACTCCGAATGCAGCTGTGCTTACAGGCACTACATTTACCAAAGGGGGCATACAGGATTTCATGTTGAGCAATCTTTAAATCATCCTATTTCACTCATATGAAATACTGTATGTTCATATATTCAGCACATTAATCTACAGAAACAACACCTACACATTTATCAGAGTTTATAACCTAGAAATATGAAGGCAGATAAAGGTTATCTAACATATGACACTCTCCCTAACAACTGTCCGTTTAGAATACACATTTAAATCACACATATATTGGTTTCAAAGAGTATAAAAGTTATGTGTTATACATTTAACTTTCAGCCACACAAAAAAAACCAAAAAAACAACAGGAATCACAATGAGGACAAAAGATTTTCCAGGATCATTGGACCTCGCATGCTGAATAAAAGTATATGCAAATAAATACTGTATTTGCACAATTATGTGTGTGTGTGTCTAACTAAAACAAAAAAAAAGGAGCTCATTACCTAAGCACTCTCAAGAAAGAAAGGCTACTGTGTTCTATCAGGTGAAAAATGCAAAGGAGAAACTAATTTATGCCAGTGAAAAAAAGGCAAACTAAAGCTGAATTCCTGCACATGCCCATGATGTTGATTAGTCACATGCTGGATGTGGTATATGGCAGTGGCAAGAAGTGACAATAAGAGATGACACACAGATCCTGTTCAGAAGTTCTACACATACCTGTGAATCCTTGTTAACTTGCATGGCCTGACCAGTGGGCATGCTCTCCCATCTTCTTTGTGTGATTTCTTCTGATAATCGTCTGTAGAACTGCAAACATTAAAGAGTGACAACAGGTGCTTCATGAACTGTGCAGAGTACCTCTGTGTATTTTTAGCATCTTGGTGATGAAATAAACATCACAAATTGTGGAGACAAAGCATGATAACACCTACACAACCATGGTACAGAACTCATTTATATGGAAATTCTTAAAGTCCAGTCTTCAAAAGTATTCACATTAGAAGAGAAGCCATGTAGTCACTAAGTACTTCTATTGCAAAGTATTTCTTCAGATATTCAAAATGTCTCAAACCACATTAAATGTTGAGGTATACTCAAAGGCATGTTTTTAAAGGAAGGAAAGCTGAGCAATCCAATTGCTATTGATCTGCTATTTCAACAATATAAAAACAACCATACAGATCAATTACACTGATTTGTTTATTGCTAATACCAGAAGGTGGCATTAGTTAACACTAACCCACTGACCAATATCCAGAAAGAAAATCTATTCCACCCTTTTCATTGTTCAGGTTCACTGGAAACCATTCTGAAGTCATAAAGAAAGGCTGGGGTTTAATTGGTGGGCTAGGCAACCAGTAAGCACAGTAAGTTTGATTTTCAGACACAACATTAAAATAAATATGATTATGATTACGAGAAACACACATTTAGACTATGCATAAATCTATAGTCATCATAATCTGAAAACTGGTCACAAAGAAATGAAAGTGAGTCTGATCAAGCACATGCATTTTTACGACATTTCTAACTAATCTGAGTTGCAAATCTGATTTTCTGCAGTGAACAGGTACAGCTTTTTCCACAGTCCAAAGTTACAGTTCACAGTCTCATCAAACAAGGGTCTTCCACGGTGAAACTTCTTTACAGAGCACATTTTCTTTGGTTTTAAGGATAACCTTTCTTTTAAGACTATATTATATTTTCAAACCTTTGAGATTTGGTGTATTTTAAAAACAATTATACAGTGTAAAATGAACAAAAGTTCTGATGCAACAAAAGGTGTTCAGGAATAAAAATAGAGAGATAATTAGGAATAAATTGTACGATTCTTGTTCAATAGAGGATTAGGTACAAAGAAACATCTTTTACTCTGTTAAACATTTTGCAGATTTCAGAGATGTCATTTTGGAAAATCCTGTGTTCAATTCAGTAGATTAAAAAGGAAGTATAAGATTATATTAAAACCTTTAAAAGTAAGGACTAGCCTAGTAATGCCTCTTGACATTTTTGGAACTCTATTTGCAGTATTTAATGAAGTACAGAACATGGGAGGATCACAGTGTTTGTCTCCCAAAAGGATGTATTGAAAAAGCTCCACCTCAAAAGTAAACATGGAAAGATCATGGGACATTATCACTAACACAGCAAGAGGAGAAAAGCATATCCAAAGACCTGTTTGTGCTTGGCATCCGTGGTACAAGACTTACCTCAATCTGCCCATGTTCTTTGAAAGAAAGTTTGATGTAGGAATATTTGCTGCTTTGGAATGGACCAGGCTCTTTGTTTGAAGAAGCAGGATGAAGATGAACTACAATTTTGGCACTAAGGAAAGGGTAAAGGAAAGAGAAGATATTTCTGTAATATCTAAATAAACTATTTCTGCATCTAAGTTAACCATTTCATAAAAATCTCTATTAACTGTCTCACATAAGAGCTAAAGATCATCAAAGAATGCTTTATATTTATGCATCAACATTTAAATATTTTGATGAAGTAGATCTTGCATAAAAACTACAATAGGCTCTGCTCTAAAGCAGAAACATTTTACAAATTTAAAATGTACCTGCCATCAATTCTTAAGAAATTAACATAACAAATTTTACTATTTCAAGCAATGATTTCCAAAAAACCTTTTAGTTAGGATAAAAACTGATTGTCAAGTTGTCATTTAATTTGGCAGTAGTCACTGCTGGTCAAAAGCCAAACTGCGCCATCTTTGACATAGGAAAACAAAAGGTCTCAATATTATACGGACCACTATCACAACATGACTGCAAGTCCTCCATTCCCATCTCATTTTACTGATAATCTTTGCATTGGTCTTTATTTACTTCTCCAACATTAGTGAATGAAGTGATTTCTTCTGAATACCTCCAGCATATTACCTTGCCAATTTGACTGTAGGCTGCAAGCAGTTGTTAATTGTGCATATATTTCTCCAACCAAAGTTTTTTCCCTCTTTAGAAATTTAAAATCATAGAGTCATTTATGTTGGAAAAGACCTCTAAAATCATCAGTAGTGACTACATGACAGTTACTTAACAAATAACATCAGTCATGACTCTGCTACACATTTGACCTCAATGGTCCTTGTAACTGTCATTATGGAAACTTAAGATTGCAAACAGAACCTACCATGAATTAATCTAGAATACTGTGTACCTCAAACATGCATGTGAAAGGATCCATCTGAAAAAGACAATGAAGATGGCCATACCTCTTTCCTATCCCAGCTGCTTGCTCTTCAATAAATACAATCTGAGAGAGAGGTACAGCAATGCAGCACTCCTGGAACAAACACCACAAACACAGGTGAATTAAACCATATCTTGTCTATTCACTCTCTAAATCCAAGTGTTCTCCTTCCTCATTTCACAAACAGTATGGATATCTACAGGTGCTGTGTGAAGCACTTGATGTGAAGTATGATGGTAACAGAAACAATGTATTACAGTGGAATATATGTAAAAAATAACACAAAATTTAAACTGTGTCCTAGTTAATTAAAAAACCTCAACAAACTTAAGTGTCAGTGTGGCAACCTTAAAAACCTCAAGCTCAGAAAGGAATTTAACAAATCTTTAGATCCAAAGTAAAAATTTAAACACTAAATTTTCTACATTACTGTACCTTATCTCTGTAGGTGCACAATACTCACAAGGTTCTTGACATTTTTACATTAATGTTACTGTGGAAGCTACAAAAATATCCAGACCCACTATTCTTTTTAAATGCTGAATATCTAAAATCTGCACTATTGTCTGAATGGAAGAGGAATTTTTCCATCCATCCTACAGTAAAGGACTTAATTCAGCAGTTGCTTCATCTCACCACACATTTATTGGACTGTGCTTTTAACAAAACAAAACATGCATTTGAGACAGAAATTGCTACAGGAATGATTCAAAAGATCAACTAAGGTGCCTAGTCTTTTTTGGTGAACATCCTCTGAGGAACATCATCTCCCACACAACACCTTTGTGATTGACACAGTCACACAGAATGCAGGAAACACAGGTTGCATTCCCTCTCTGAACTTCTCTCTTCCACCTGCCACTGCCTAGCACCAGTTTAAAACAGACACTGTTACAGGGCCCTCTCAATCCCTGCTACCAAAATTGTTCCTTTTTGTATGGAGTAATTAAATACCCATTAAATTTGCAAGCAATAAATAAATTTCTTATTGGGAAAAAACCTGGGTTGTACTTCCTTTTCTAAAAACTCTTAATGCAAGCTATCTAGGTTCTTCTATGACTAGTTTCTAAAGCCATTACAAACAGTTCATGTTTGTAAAACAAACACAAAGTTCTGGACACTTTAAAAGATAGGCAGTATGATAATTCTGTTTAAAAAACAAGGTTTTGAAAATGACAAAAAGAGTTCAACTATATATAGTATGTGCACTGTCAAAGTGACTGATTTGTTTAGCTCCAAGATAAAAAGTTACAAACTCATTTTGAGTACAAAGACTTAGAATCGCCCCTTCCTGATCAGAGAAGATACAGGAAGGGATAAAAAACCAGAAATGTGTTAAATATGCTGTGTGTTTATTTGACTTCTGTCTTCTAATGCTCACATTTTGTCTTCTCATGCTCACATTATGCATGATTTTATCAATTAAAAATTTGTACAAATCTAGCTATGTAACGAACTTAACAGAAATCCCCCCTTTTTTTAAAACACTGTTCAACTGCAGATGGCATGTAAAAACAGCAGCTACAGGACCCAGCTGTTTCTGTAAGGTTTGCTATGTTAACCTAATGACATGTGCCCCATTAATTATTATACACTGCTGACACAATAAGAAGGGGACTCTCTCTACAAATTTATTCTAGGTAAGCTAGAATAATTCTGATGTTAAACCACAGCTGAGCTTAGACAACAACTCACCGAGACAACAAAAGAGCACCATGCTCCCCATGTTTCAATACTGAGAGCTTGAAAATGAATCAGCTTTATTTACCCTACTAACAAAGTTAATTACATCTCCCAATCAGAACTGGGTAATTTTTGCCCATCTGCGGGTCACATTTCTGCTCCTTCTGTTAATCAAGCCTAAGCTTTTCAGAATCTTTGCTGAGTTAAATTAGTTAAAATAAAATTATTTTTCCTCTTCTCCAAGGTTTTCCTCTGCTGATTTAACAAATTCAATGACCTTGGAATAGTACAAGAAATCACATGGCCTACGAGCAGATGGAGAAATCGGGGAAGAGACAAATGTAATCTTTTTGCTGGAAAGGAGAGAATGCAGATATGTTCAGTTCTAAGACTTGCTGAAGCCATAATGCCCAATGTTACTCCAAGCATGCAAAAAGTCCAAGTGAGAAGATTAGACGCAGCGGTTGTTCCAGTACATGCTCAGCTCTCAAAAATAGATGCTGATGAAGAAATAAAAAGTGATTAACACTTTAAGAATTAAGAATTTAGCACATTATCTCATGTGATAACATGATGACTGTGCAATAAAGCCCCACGTTAATTTATACAGAACAGCTCATGGTCTGGACAATCAAGCCCTAACTTGTGAAACAGTAACCCCACTGTGGGTAACAGCTCTTTAAACACTTTGAAAAAAAAATGTATTAAAAATAGGTCCGCTGGTCCTGCAAACAATCCCTAAAGAAAAAATCATACTGCTCTTCCAAATTAAGAACATCCTTGGTGACATTACCTTCAGGATGCCCTTAGTAGCTCCCTGCTTTGAAGCAAGGATGTGATATTTGCTAGGGATCAGCCTTTGAGCGTGAGAGGGGCTTCAGCGGCCCTTGCACAAAAGCCCAGTGGAATACAATTTGCTTTTGGAAAGCTGTCATCTAAACGTGATCTTTACTTTCTAAACTTTGGCTTTCAGGATTAAAATTCTCAATTATTGTGTCCAAAACAAGCATAATCCAACCTGGTCTGAAAAACACTTCTTCATTTACATCTGTGGAGTGGTGTCCATTGTCACACTCTATGCTTAGAGCTTTATGTGTTTGTGGTCTCTTTCTCCCGCTTCCCCTGCATTCCCAGGCTGTGGTTGATGACACAAACAATTCAGCAGCTTTACTACAGTAACAGTTACCACACTGTAGTTCTGGCAGTGCCATGTAACCTGTCCACAGCACTACAGTAAATGTTCTGGCTGATTGAAGGGATGGTTCAGGGCAGGAACAGGCAGCTGTGAGGGCAAGATGTGTACAAAACAATACTGTCACCAAACACATCCTATTATCAAATCATGGTCGAGGACTATATGGTGGGGCAACTTGGACTTGAAACCAACAAGGAAGAAAAGGCTTTCCTAAAGAAAGAGCATGGGAGAGAGCTTCACATTATCATTTGCCTGACACACTCACCTTCAGTTTAAAACTCAGTGTTTTTTAGTGCATGATGCCAGACTCTTTTCTCTTTTATTTCTGTGTGGTAGAAAAGAAAAACTTACAGGATACATTCCTATCCCTTCTCATCTCTGCATGATAATTTTATTAAAGCAGGACTGGGTGAAAGACCACTACATAATCTTCTTTTGGCTGAGAGACAAAAAGTGAACTATACTTGCACAACAAAACACACACAAAGGCAGGAATAATCCCCTCTCCATGTACAGGCTTTTCATTGCAAGTTACTTGTTGTTTATTACAAAATTTAGAACTGAATGACATACAGGAGACAAAAATGGGACTTACATGATTCTTCTGATCCCTCCAGATCAGTCTATGTGTGCTCAGCAGTAAAACTCCACTATCAAATTTCACCTGGGCAGGAAAAATATAACAGATCAACAACAAATTGAACCAGTAAGTTACATAAATGCTGGTCTTGGAAACATCACACCTTACCACAACACAGCAATCAGATTTAACAAGCCAGTATTTTGAGAACGCTCCCTTTTTTCCAGAAAACAAAATACATGACGTTTAGGAAATAATGGAGGAAAATAGTATAAAAGGATTAGATGGATAAACACAAACTTCCTTTTTCAAGTGTATAAACTTTACCTCCGGAAATCCTGAGGGATCCTCCCTCCATATACTCTGCAAGATGTACAAAAGTTCTTAAATGTATTTTAAACAGGGCTATTGGCTTTGGAACAACCACTATATGCTGACAAAGAAGGTAGAAATTATGCAAAAAAAGCAAAGCAACCTAATAAAAAGATGCTGCACACAGTCTGAAATCTTCCATCCTATCAACAGGAATATTGCTTCTATCTGTGTTGCTGTTGAAAAGCTCTTTACTTATCAGACAGCAAACAGTACCTGGAAAATCTGCATTTAGCAAATTGCTTCCTACTTGTAAAACTGGAGGCACATTTTCACAGCTGTTTGTGAGGGTATGCAATTACCATGCTGTGGAAGAATGGAGAGATCAAGAGTCAGTCCGGCAGTGAAGTGAAGCAATAAGCAGGATGGCTCAAGAAAGAGCAGAGGGTCTGTCAGCACCCTGGACGACTCAAGTGTGAATTGTGCGACATGTACCATGCCAAAGCCGGGGCTCAGCTCTGTACAGGAGTGACAGCCCGAGCCATGGGCAGCACTCTGTGACAGTGACACTGCCTACACACCTCATGCCTATCCTCACCCCATGTCACACACACACACACACACACACACACACACACACACACACGGCCTTTCTCGCAGAATCACAGAATCAATTGAGTTGGAAAAGCCCTCTAAGATCATCGGGTCCAACCAATTGACATCCCCAGGTCAACAAGAGCATGGCCTTGCGTACCATGTCCAGTCTTTCCTTAAACAGCTCCAGGGACGGTGACTCCACCATCTCCCAAGGCAGTTCATTCCAACATCTAATCACCCTTTCTGTTAAGAAATTCTTCCTAATGGCAAACCTAAACTACCCCCAGCACAGCTTAAGGCTGCTTCTTTTCCTATCACTTGTTGCCTGGGGGAAGAGACCCCGACCTGGCTCCACCCTCCTTTCAGGCAGTAAGAGAGCAATAATGTCCCCCCAAAGCCTGCTCTTCTCCAGGCTAAACAATCCCAGCCCCTTCAGCTGCCCTTCCTAAGCCTGTGCTCCAGCACCTCAGCGTCTGTCCTGAGCTCAGGGGCCCAGAACTAAACACAGGATTTGAGGTGTGGCCTCAGCAGTGCGGAATATGGGGGACAGTCTCTCCTGCTCCTGCTGGTCACACTATTGCTGACACAGGCCAGGATGCCATTGGCCTTCTCGGCCACCTGGGCACACTGCTGGCTCACGTTCAGCTGCAGCCGACCAGCACAGCCCCTCGAAGCCTGCAACTCCGCCCTAATCTCGCCACAGAAACAAACCTTGCCAGACCCTGGCGCAGAACGTCCTCCCACACCCCCGATCGATGCTCCGCCTGCATCCCAAGCCCTTCACACGCTCCGTGTCGCGTCCCTCGACCGACACCGCCCGCACTCGCAGCCCTGCCGCCCCGCCTTGCTTGGGGCCCACGGCCGCCTTCTTTACCCTCCTCCCCCGCCCTGGCCGCGCCGCCAGGCCCCGCGCGGGGCGACTCCAGCTCCCGTCACCTTCTCCTCCCCGTCGCTGAGGCGCACGCCGCGCTGCTGGACCACTAGCGTCTCTCCCAGCTCCAGCAGCCCGGTTGTCCACGAGAACCTGTCCATGGCGGCCCTTCCCCTCCCGCACCGGGCCGCGGCCGCCGGGTGCGCAGGGACCGTGTGCAGCTGCCCCACGCCCTCTTGCGGCGGCGCGGGGAGCGGCCGCCATGTTGTCCCGCGGGGAGCGGCCGGGGGGCAGCGCCGCCCGCCATTGGCCAGTTCAAGCCCCGCGGCCGGGCCAATCGGGGCGGCGCCGCGCGGTTCAAACGCTCGTGGCGCGGCGGGCATGGCGGCGCGCGCGGTTCCGCAGCTCCTGGCTCTCCCGGCTAGCCGCAGGTCCGAGCCCGCATTCCGCGGTAAGGCCGGGACACCGGGGACAGGGATAGCCGGGCACCGAGGGGCGTTGCGGCTCCCCGCCGCGGGCCGCCCGCTCGCCTGCCCGCGCGGGGCTGAGCGTTACCGGCCGCCGTTGCAGGCTCGCGCGTGGCCGCGGCGGGTGCAGGAGAGCCGGTGCGAGAGAGGAGCCGGTCGGTCTCTCCGGAAAGTGGGAGCGGAGGGCAGGCGCTCCAGGCGAGGTCGGAGACCGGGCAGGTCTTGGTAGCAGTGTTTGCTGTTGTGGTCTCAGAGCTTCCGAGCGGGCGTACGAGACTTCACCCTCCTTTGGTAGGGCTGGGGCCGGCACGGGCCCCACCCCATCCTATCCCCGGCCCCAGGTTGGACTCCTGGGCTGGAAGCCTTCCCTAGTGACAAGCGGGATGCCCTGGTGTTAAAAGCATCCTCTTGAAAGCAGCAAGCGCGGCGCTGACCTAGACCCAGACCCGCGCTCTTGTGCTTATTTACTTTCTGACCGGTTCGGTTTCTGTAAGTTAAAGCGAGGGAGTCGCTTTGGTGCGGCTTTGCGGTTTGTGCGAGGGGCGGTGAGAGCCGTGCTTGAAGCAGAAGGTGCTGGGAAGCTCTGGGATGCACTTCGAACTCGCTGCTGAATGAGCTGTGGTAGCTCCTTCAGAAGCAGGGGATGGACACTGCCTTCTGGACGCTTTGTCCAGAGAAGGGCAAGGAGCTGTGGAAGGGTCTGGAGCACAAGCCCTGTGAGGAGCGGCTGAGGGAGCTGGGGGTGTTTAGCCTGGAGAAAAGGAGGCTCAGGAGAGACCTTCATCGCTCCCTACAACTGCCTGGAAGGAGGGCGGAGCCAGGTGGGGACCGGCCTCTTCTCCCAGGGAACCAGTGACAGGACAAGAGGACACAGACTGAAGCTGCGCTAGGGGAGGTTTAGGTTGGGCATCGGGAGGAATTTATTGACGGAAGGGGTGTTTAGATATGAGACTCGACTGTCCAGGGAGATGGTGGAGTCACTATCCCCTGGAGGGACAGTGACAGCTGTTCCTAGGGCCTTTCCATGATTACTTCATGATGGTATTGGCACTCCTGGTAGAATTAATACTTGTTCAAATCTCTGAGTGACGGTGGAAGGGAAGGAAATTGTTTTACTGATGTTCAGCTGGTTTCACATGCATGGTGCTTTTCATGTGTGCTGTACTTGCTACTGCCACAAATGAAAAGTGTGTTTACTGAACCACCAGTAACTATGTGAAATATTGGACAGGCACACAGAAGGTAACAGCAAGCCTGAGTTCTTCATGTTACAAAATTCTATTTCTTTTAGCTTAATACAGCAAACCAGCCATTTTGTCTAGCTGTGAAGTTACATTCAACTATCCCTTGAATATTTACTTTCTCAAGAAATGTGAGAATGTGTAAGACATTGAGATGTGAAAACATTTTGTAATCCATAGTGTCTATATTTTATAACGTCGTGATGCTTTTCTAGCTGCATTTCCTTCTTGACTAAGGAAGTGTAACATTCATATTTTAGCTGAAAATGTAACAAGTCTGTCTTAAAATCTTCTAGAACAAAGACAACAGAAAGTCAAAGAATATCTATCAAGAAAGAGGACTTCTGGTGTGCCCATTCAAGAAGACCAGACATCCATCAGGTAGTATTTCTGCTATGGCTTACATTCTCTTATTTTCATATTCGCTAATGTTCCTTCATTTTTATCTCAGCTGTCTTTTGTAAGTTCCTCTGATGCAATGATACCACTTGCTAACTAGAATGTTCATTTTCAGTCACATGTAGTACTGCCAGGTCTCTTATATAACACATCACAAAGCACCTGAGGGAAAATTTGGATTTGCAACTTTAAATTGAGATGGTTTTCTGAGTTGTCAATACATTTTCATAGTTGCTAGGAGAGACACTTAGTGGTTTTGTAACTTTCTGGGTAGTCTGATGCCAGCTCTGGTGCCTGACTGAAGGTTTTGGAGCCTTGTCAGTGTGGTAGGAACTACATGTCCTCTTTCAGACTTGCCTCAGATGTCCTGGGCTCTCATGATTGCAGTAGCTGAGCTTCAGCTTCTTGAGCTCCCCCTTTCCACTCAACTGCAGTATTTAGAAACTTCTGTAGCAGATGCATCAGACTAGACAAGTTGGTACTCATTCTTAAGCATGAGAAATTACACCTGCAGTGTAAATTCCAATTTGTTAGCTCTTTATGGTGTAAGAAGGGAAGTTTTACAGCCTGGGTTCTGATTAGTGGTTGCTTAACCATTTGTTTTTGCTGGAGGAATAGTGCAAGCTAAACAGAAATGCTTCAGTATGAGTACATTCTGCAGACTGCCAACTGAAACATGTGAACGTACTCTAAAAATACATTCCTTTGTTGAACGATTTAAGATGTCTTTTTCTTATTAAGCAGTAGCAGAACTAGGAGAGCAACTACCAGTAAACTGCAAGATAAGTTACAGCTCTCAACATCTCCCAAACCAGAAATGGTAAGTTTTTGACTGATACTTAAATACTGATGGCACTCTGTTTCTATGGTTACAACACTCCACTTACTTAAATCTATTTATGTTGTATGACTTCTAGAGCATGAGAAGTTTGCAGGTGCAGAGGTGTGGTTTGTTAGAATTTTATTTAGTCACTGCTTATTATATACTTTTTGTAAAGCTGCCATATTACAGTAGGAAATGGATCATATTGATATTCAGTTTGTACCCAACAGGAGCGAGAGTTAAAGAGGATACCATTCTTGCTGAAATAATGCTTAAATTTTAACAATATTTCTCAAGAATCTCAGAGGGGTTTTTGTTACATTTTTGAGTCTTTGGGGAAGCTATTTGAAATCTGAGTACTGTCTTTTGTCACAGTAAAAAAGTTTACTATTACTTGAAAGAAAGCCAAACCATTAACAAAATAAACTGTTGAGTATATATGTTTTTTTAGTGGTGTGCTGGAAAAATTAATGTCATCAGAAGTAGATGCCAGTACCTAATCAGAGTTTAAGGGAATGTGTTCCCTGTATAATTTCATGTCATTTTCCTGGAATTAAGATGCAAAAATGGTTGTGCTGCTTAGAAATAGCAAAACAGAGATTCTTCTGCAGATCTGTTCTCAGGGAGAGGTGAGGTAAAAATAGACATAAGACCTGTGTTCATGTTAGACAGTTTAGAGTTTGGGTTTCAGAAGATTTGAGATATGGGATTATTTGAGGAGAAAAACAAAAAACTTAAGACTTCAAAGATGAATGTTGAGGAGAAAAATTACCAAAGTGAGAACAAGTGTTTTTTTACAAATTTCCTGCAGGGACATGTATTTTTCTGTATCTTGTGTGATTTCAAGTTGAGTACGTAGTTTCCTGAAATAACAGTCCTTGCATTCAAGCTCTTGTTATGCAGGCTTTGTCAAATCTAACTACTAAGCCTCAATGACAGACCAGGAAATGAGTTTTCTTTCAGGCATCTTCCTTAAAGTCTGCTCCTGCAGACTTCTATGTGTCATTCACACTTTTTTTCCCTGCTTTTGGATATTTCACTCTTCCAAAAGCTGTTGCTTGGACAGTGCTCAATTAGTTGCTGTAGAGCAACTTTTTTTGGAGGAAAAGACTGCATTCCATTTTTCATGGGGGGTTATGCTGAGAACATATGGCTGAGAGTTTCAGTAAAGCCATGCAAAACTGATGTAACTATTCTCAAATTGCAGCATCCTACATCTCAATTGTAAGAAAAATTTTCTTCTGGTAACATCTCTGAGTGTCCTTTACTCACTGCCTTGTGTTAGTAGACTATTCACACTAAGTGGAGGAATGGTGCTGCCTCTAAGTTATGAGATATGCAAACAGAGATATTGCTCTTGAGTTTATACAGCCTAAAGCACGTCTCTACTTCATAAATCTTCCAAGGAGATAATTTGGGCAGTTTAAAGCCAACAGTTACTTTCAGAGTTTTATTTTGTACTTCCAAGGCAAAATTTAAGCAATTTTTATTTGATTTTTGATGTGGATACTGCAGTAATAATTGACAGATTATCTACTCAATATTTATACATTACTTCCATATAGGCACCTTTAAGCCTTTTAAGCACTTTAGCCCGGTAAATCATTGGAAGCCTCTTTGGAAACAAGTAACGTGCAGCATGAGCATACTTCTAACATTTCCATGAATATACTTTTGATTTCAGGAAAATAAAGAGAATGCTGATCAAGTGTCATGGGACCAATCAATTTTAAACTCAGAAAAAAAAGTAAATTTAAATTCTTCTACAATCCCACTGACAAGTTACATATCAGGGACAAACTGTAATCTTGAAAATCAAGCTCCAAAGAATAAAGTCATTGATATAAAATCTCAGCATGTATCACTTAGCAAAGCCATCTTGGAAATAAAAAGAATCAAAGAGAGGCATTTGACAGCAGAAAAACAAAATGCAAGTATCAGTGTACCAAAGAAACCAGCTCTTGGCAGATATCGTGGCAGAGTTATCCAATCCAAGATAAATTCTTTCTGGAAAGCAGGAAAAACTGAGGGGGAAAAGAGTTCTTTGCCAGACAAGAAGCTTTTTCCTTCTGCCACCAAACAAGCAGCAAATTCTTCGTCCACAAAAAGCTGTAATGCAGTTCTGAAGACCATCAAAGTCACAAACAACCCTAAGTCTGTAAAATCAAATGATGTCCTGCCATTTCACAGCAAACCATCTGATAAAGCTGCTACTCAGTCTGGTTTGAAGAAACAGCTGACGTTTACTGTGCCACCAAAGAAAGTAACAGTCCCAAAAGTGGTTGGTGGTAGGGC